GGTAAAAGGTACGCAGATGGGTCAGAGTTGTCCCCGGGACCATGTTAACTATCAACTTAGCAGTTGGAATATGGGATTAGTTTCGAAATGAACGGATGTTTACTTCGAACAGAAAGGAAATTTTTTTTTGTTAGGTTTCACTTTGAGTTAAAGGAAAGTTTGATTAAATTTTTAGGCAAATACGGGGCAATTAATGGGCAAGGAATCTGTAAAAATTCTGGATTTCTCACAATTATTGCACATAATTGCTTCAGTACAGCACACTCACACTGCAAGAGAATTTACTGCAGGTGGTGAAAAGGTATTGGTTTTAATAAAATTTCTCTGCAAAAAATGTCATAAACTTGAAAATTACTGTGGGAATTGCTTCAGAACATATCAGATGAGAAATACTAAAAAACCCGCACTTCAACTGTTTTATTTTTAAGAAATTCAATAAAAAACCGTTATGTATCTGCTGGATACATACATGCCTAGATGCAGTTAATAAATGAAAATTCTTTAATTTATATATTACAGCCACTCACATTTTTATGTTTATAAAATTTTTAAAAAAATACAAAAAATTATATGGGGCATGGTGTCATATAATATTATAAAATGATTTTAAAATACTAATGGAAAAAATTACGTTATTTCCGGGTCATATTTGAATTTTTTAGAAGTTATTCACTTTAAAATAATGCAATTTATAAGTGCAGAAACATGCGCACCTTCGCTGCAGCTATTTTTAGTAACAGTAACTGGCAGGAAAATTGAAATCTGAGATTATGTGCACCATAGTGCCAATTTGACACCAATAATTAAATATAAATAATGAAATGCTTTAAGCAAAAACTGAATTGCACATTGTAAATCAAAGAAAAATTAGACAGGTAATCATTTTTTCAGATTTTTCAAACAATTAGAATTTTTACACTAACTAATTAAAAATTAACTGGTGCCTAATTGGCACTAGGCATGTGCCGACATGTTAATTCTAATAAACTAAACATTTAACCTTTCTTATGATGATGTGGCGATATAGTATCGGTTTGGTTCCAGCTGAAACATACAAAATAAAATGATATTGCATCATTTTAAAAATGGTTAATTTTAATCAAAAATTATCTGTGTTATTTTACTTGCAGTTAATGATATTTTATTGTTGCTCACTGCCTCTGCCTGTAAGTTATATATGTATAGTGAAGATCTTATGGAAAAATGTTCCTTCCCAACTCCGCCTCGTTGAGTTGGTTTCTTGTGTATCACGACTCGATGTAGTGAATCAGGTTCGTCGGAAAGCACACCTCCACACTCAAAATGAATATATTTACAGTTTATTTACAGTTGTACAAGTTTTAAACATAGTATGTGTACAGGAAGATCATGGGTGGCGAATTCACGTGCCAGATTGGCGTCTGGAAACTAATACTCCTGGGAGAGACTTCAGTCAGCTTTCGGAGTCGGCTCAACTGCACGGTCGGTCCGGTCTCAGCACTAACCCGTCCCTGAGAAGGTTAACAGAGGAGAACACTCTCTCTCTTTACGCTCAGCGGGCTTCCCAAGTGCCTGAGACAACCGTGTATCAGTCTCTTGCCCTTCTCTCCTTTCCTCTCGTTCGGCCCGCAATTTAAGGGTTTTTGGACGGGGACTTCCGACCAATCACAATCCCTTTTCTTTGCCCGAACAGCTTACACTCGGGTCCGCCGTCATCCGACGAGAGTGAAGCTCACACAAACGTCCGCCACTTGTTTACGTTCGTTCGTTTACAATAAGGCAATTGTACTACCGTCTCACTGCAGGTGGGTCCAATTAACAAAGCCGTACCCCTTTTGTCCCCGTTGTGCTAAAAGGTTACTACTTTACATGTATTATTAATTTATTATTTTTTAATTTGTTGCTTATCTATATATATAAAAATGAATGTGTGTGTGTGTCTGTCCTTCATGCATTACCACACCGTCTATCCGATTGCCGTGAAACTTTGGGAAGTTGTTTAATATACTCCGGCGAAGGTTTGTGGCATAGTTCGATTGCCATAAAACTTCGGAAAGTTTTTTAATACACTCCCGCAAAGGTTTTTGGCATAGTACATTTATCCTATGATAGATGGCGCGCGTTTACACGAGCATTCGAGCATAGTGTGATCGATCGATTTCAAATTGTGAAGACCATTTTCCCCCTTCAAAAAATATCTCTATATATGCATTTGTGAACTGTTATTTACGATATTTGTAATAATTTTTGTTTAATCACTTTATTTCAACTTTTTTTTGCTAATTACGTATTCGCTCAAACTTTGTTAAAGCTTTAATTGTATACCGAACAACCGAAGTTGTAGAAGGAAATGCGCGTATTTTACCAATCTAGGGATCCCCCTTTTCCAAATTTTAATATCAACTCAAAATATTTTAAAAAGACAAATTACAATAAAACGCTTTATTATCCAACTATGAGAAATTTCACAACACGCCAAGGAAGAGAGGAAGGAGCAATTAAATAATCAAAATTATGAAGGATTAAAAAAAATATATAAAAATGGGGAATATCACACTTCTAACAATCTCTGTGAGTATGTGGGCTAAATTTAAAGAATCCGTGCTTCTCGCTTGGACAACTGTATGTGGCCAACTCACGCGTCGGAAAACCTTTTGATTTATTTGTGTACGCACCAGATGGAAAAACAAAAAATATCGTGTATCCACAAAGCACTCCAATAAATAAATAAAATTGAAACAACGCTTTGAAATGTTTTCCCAATGAAAACGAATAATAATAATAAGTTTCAATGAAAATGATAAAATGTAAATTTAATTTTATCATAACGAGTTTGCTTGAATTTCCTTTCTTCTGAGATCGCAGCAATGTGCGACGGGTAAGCTAGTTTATAATATAATTAAAGATAATTAAAGAAAGCTTATGGACATAAATAAATTAAATTTTTTATCAATAAGTAAATAAACAAACAGTAAATATGATATATAATAAACAAGTAAAATGGCAAAGCAATATTTNAAATTTTCCTTAACAATTTTTTTTCGCTCAAATGGTGCACCGGAAGGCTCTAGTTTAGTAGTGTTACAGAGCATAATACGTATATTTTAATATATTTTTTAAAAGAATCAAAACCATTGAGAAATGTTACATGTGTTTAACAAGGTTCGGAAAACTTTGAAAATGTTAACAACTGGTTCGGCCGAACCTGTGCGAACCCGCTGAATATCACCACTGCCAATAACAGTATTATTTCCTATGAGAAATTCAATTCTTAAAGCTATGACCTTAAAAACAGTGAATTGTTTTTTTTTTTTTTTTGATAACTTGAAACTGTGTCATATTTCTATTGTTGTTTCTCATACACAACTGAAATAAAGATGAAAGGAAGCCAAATGATCGCTAAATTACACTGCATTGTGTGTGAGAAACAACAATGAATTTTTTAAATATCCAATAGGATTTCTAAAAAGCTAATAAATGAAAAGAAAAAAAATCAAAAATATTTACAAAGCATGTCTATAAAAATGGATTAGACCTTAATTAAGAATTTTAAATCCAATTATATGTAGAGTGATACCTCGATTTTCGTCGATAATCCGTCCAAAAACAATCGGCGAAATCCGAAACCGACGAAAACCGAGGCAATTATTTCCATATGAATCAATGTCAATCCAATTAATTCGTTGTAGACACTCCAAAAAAACATACCAAAAATACATTTTATAGAGAATAAATATAGCGTTTAATACTAAAAACAATAAGAAATTAATATAAAATTAAAATAAAAGACTAATATGACGGCCCCGAAACAGAATCTTCATCTAACTGTTTTTGATTGATCCAAATTAATAATAACTGTTCGACATCTTCAATTGTTTGGGATCTCTGTTTCGTTAGCACATTCACGCCTTTCGCTACATTAGCCTCCTTTACTGCTTCCTTTTTTTCGCCACATTGGAACTTTATCGTGGATGGCGACTTCCCGTACTGTGCATACATACGGCCGATTTCAGCAATCTTAATGCCGCTTTCGTATCTTTCAATGATTTCCTTTAACTCGATAATGTTCCTGGCCTTCTTTTTCGAAGGGCTGCTGGATCTGAAAACTTTTTTGGTCTCATGATGAAGCTAAAAGGAAAGGAAAACAATGGAATTGTTTGGCTAGACTCGCGGGATAATACTCACATAACGAGAAACAACGCCATACTGAGCGAGAAAACGCGTGAATCGCCCTTTGTTTTCGCAAAATTAGCAGCGAGATCACGTGGGCACGCCGACGAAATCCGAGACAACCGACGATAACTGAAGTCAACGAAAACCAAGGTATTACTGTATAAGATCATAACTTTTCAGTATGAAGCCCACATATAATGAACTATTGTACAGTACTGTACATAAACGATGTTTGTTTTTTTGTATTTTTCAGCGAATTTTTAAGAGGGAGATAGAGGAGGGTATATCTCGAGTAGAGTCGGATTTAATGCAGATTTTATTCGTAATTAGCATTTACAACTTTTTATAAACGCGTCTCTACCCTCAAAATTAACNCAACGGAGCGTGTCATAGTAAAAGAGTTAATGTACTAATTTGTATTATATTTTAAATGCAAATAGTTTTTTGTTTATTTTATTAAAAATATATGAAAAATTAATGTGATGTATAAAGCTTATTATCAGTTTGTTTAATTTATATATAACATACATTTCTATTAATACAGATAAATTTTGAATTAAGTTAAATATGGACATTTAAAAAATGATGATAAAACAATTTGATATTCTAGGCACGTACAAGTTCAAAGGAAAAGATTAAGGTTGAACGTCCTGTCATGCATTATAGAGCAAATTCTGAATCATTAATCATTTCTACAGGTGATTTGGAACCTTCAATCTTCACTGAGGTACAAATGTTATTTGTTATTATTGTTAATGATTAGTTTTTAAAACTGAAAAATTTTTACATAACAGAATATTTTACAATATATTTCTAATACATTGTATTTTACTGTTATGTACTTTCAGTGCAAAGAAAAAATGAGGCCGGTGAAATGTAATTTAAAACAATTGGATAATCCAGATGAAAGTCTTACCAAAGAAGAACAAGTTCGCTACACCCAGCAATGTCTTTTAAAAATAGGTAGCCATATAAATGATTGTTTACGTGAATACACTGATCCAGAAAAGGTCAAAGAATGGAGAAGGTAAATATTTTTGTTAAGGAAAACTTTTATTTACAATTTTAATATTCATAAAATTGTTTAGCTTGAACTATTAACTATCAAGTGATAGAAACGTATTCAGCCAATTACAGAAATGAGCTTTAAGTCATAATGTCTTGATTTTTATTGAATTTAACTTAAAATTAGATGTTTCACTCATTTTGAATATTTGTGATGAATTAAATCAATGAGAACCAAAAAATAATAACAGGATAAGAATTCAAAAAAGAATATTAAAGAATCAAACAAATCCATTTGAAATTTATTTACCATTGAATTTCAAATACAATAAAACCTGTGCAAACTGGAATTGCATGGTACTGAATATTTTTTCTGGTTTGGCCAGTTTCCATTTCGAAGAGTTTTTTTTTTTTTAAATAAGAAAATTCACTCCAGTCTGAAAAATTTTTTCTGTTTAGGCAGGTTTTACTTTTTACTGTAGATATAAATTTCAAAAGTAAACTTGCATATGTTTTACATGATGTACAGCATGAATTTAAGCATTTTAATAAACAGGGTTCACTTTAAAATCTGATCAGCAACTATTAAATATNCCGACGATAACTGAAGTCAACGAAAACCAAGGTATTACTGTATAAGATCATAACTTTTCAGTATGAAGCCCACATATAATGAACTATTGTACAGTACTGTACATAAACGATGTTTGTTTTTTTGTATTTTTCAGCGAATTTTTAAGAGGGAGATAGAGGAGGGTATATCTCGAGTAGAGTCGGATTTAATGCAGATTTTATTCGTAATTAGCATTTACAACTTTTTATAAACGCGTCTCTACCCTCAAAATTAACCTTTTTGCATTTCATCAATATAATAATTAATTGTATAAAAAAGTTTATAATAAAATATCGTAACAGATGGCGCCACCACAATTTATAATTATTTTTTTGTCGGAAAAGTTACGCAACTCTTGGCTGGATTTTTTTATAACGTAACGATACGAAATTGTCTTGTCTATCAATGATTCGATGTAATAATAATAATAATGAGTTAGATGAAAAAGTAAATTTCTATCTCAAAAAATAAAATTACGCAAAAAGATAAATTGCATTAAATCTAGAAAGAAAAAGTCACGAGGGGCGCTAAAATCAGCGCACAAATGGCAGACGTTGGAGCGCGTTTTGAAAATTTTGTTACGAGAGAAACTCAAGAGAAAAGTAAACAGAGTAAGTGTATACAAACTTTTACTGCAAATAGCGATTTTTCTTTAAATAAAAATAATATGATCTAAGATATACTAGAAAGGACGGTGATTCAATTTCGATTTTCTAAATCAGAATTCTATTGAGTAATGATTACGTAAAATCGAACATTTCCTCCAATCAGATGCATTTTTACAAATTCATTAAGAAGTTCAAACAGTATAAAGGTTAATTTTCCTTTACAAAAATTGAAAAAACTTAACAAAATTAAGTTAATAAGAATAATCTTTTTAACAATTCGTATTGAACAGTTAAACGTTAAAAAGAAAAAAAGGGTTTAAAATCTCCTTTAATCAATAGATACGTTTCCTTGTCAAGCAGCTAAAGAAGCCAATAACGTAGTTCGTGTCATATGAAATGATCCATGTCATTGGTTTGCTTAGCTGCTTGGCAAGGATACGTGCCCAACGTATTCATGTAATGTCACATGAATACAAATAAGTATTTATATTATAAAGCTCAAACTTCTTACTACCATTAAAATAAAAATATTTTTAAAAATTTGCATCATAATATTCATTGAAAACAATATTGTAATCAATATTGGGTCTTCCAAAAAGATTGCTACCGTTTTAAATTTTAATTATGTTAATATATATTACAACATTCTCAGATAATAATCAACAAATTAGAAAACAGTCCAAGTTTTGCATTTGCCAATTGCAAGTTCTCAGTGAGTGCGCCTTGTGTTGCATGGCACGCATTCAAACGATACTCAAATTCTAAGCTAGCTATAGTATATCCGTTGTTGGGTAGGATGTGAACTCTGAATGAGGGGTTTCCTACTCCCCAGAATTGTAGATCCTCTGTACAAGCAAAAAAGTCAAAGGAACCATACCTATATATGTGATCCTTTGCAAGATAATTGCCTCTAAAGGTCAGTTTTTACCATGTACCAATATACTGCCTATTCTCCATGCTCTGCATTGTCAATGTTTCTGCACTTTGGTGCTCGCTTGCATCTCAGCACCCACATGGGGATGAGCCTTCACATCCACTATAACTACAGTGACCATATTTTTTGGGGGAAAATAAAGGACATATCGAAGAAAATCAAAAAATATCTCATAAGTTTATAACATTTACAGGCATACCTCGACTTACGTCGGTTTCGAGTTACGTCGTTCCCGATTATATGTCGCTTGTTAAAAAAGTATATGGAAAAATAAAAATCAAGTTTAAGTCATTTTATTCGACTTTACGTCTGTCCGCCACAAATATTGAANAAGCAGAAGAGACTGTTTATGATAGTAAAGATAGCTCTTAGTATGTTACATGGTTGACATAAAATTTTTCTTAACTGCTGTTAACTTTATACAGTTGATATAAAATATTTTACTACAGAATTTGGTTCATAATCTTTTTTTTTTCTGAATTTGCCTCCTTTAAAATTGGGTGCGTCTTATACGGCGAAAAATACGGTAAATAAACTAAAAAGCATTTAATTTTTTATATAATTTATACCAAAAATTGTTAATAATACTTTTCGTTAATATTAGTTTAATTAATATAGTTAATAGTACTTTGATATAATTTACAAAAAATAAATATTTATAAATGAAATAAGTGGAGTTTTTTTAATCAAATTTAAAATTCTGTACTAAACGCACACGCAACTCAGCGTGCCAATTGGCTAGCGTATGTCAGATGATCACTCCTCAACTTATTATTATCACTTTGCCCGACTAGGTGATAGCAATATTCATAGTGATCAGTCAATTTGATAAATTAATCAATATTTATCACACTGCCCACCCTATTTGGTCATTATTCATAATGCCCGATTAATCACTTTGTCCATAACATATATATAATTTATATATTACATTTTTATAAAGTATCAATTAGTAATAAATTTTTGATTGCTCCAGACTTCAAACTGCTCTTGGGGAAATGACAACAGAAATTTCTCCATGAATTTTCTGCCATGTGTTTTTTTCCTATTTATCCAATTTTTTTATCTCTATTCATCTATTGTTGGGTGAGTTTTAATTAAGAGTAGTAAAACAGTTTGCTCTTTTTCTGAAAAATCTTTTGCAAACTTTGCCACACATCATTCATATTTTCTGATGTCATCACAAGAATGTCAATTAATTAAAAATTTCAAAATTGCAGGGAAAAGCAACTTTAAATGTAACAGTACCAGTTAATCCATTGCTGCTACTTGTTTCTGAAAAGCAATTTAGGTCACATGTTAGCAAGACCACAATTTTAATCTTAGGCCTCTGATTAGTCAATTTTCATTTCTATAATCAGTTCATTGAATTCATAGTTTTTTATACCAATTAAAATAATGAAAACATTTTCAATATTCAGGAAAAGGTCTTTATTTTGAAAACTGTAAAATATTCTTTTTTCAGTTATAACTATTATAACAAAATAAAGTTTGAATCCTCAAANTCAATAAAAAACATGTCCCAATTATTTAGATAATCTATGCACGTTTGATAAAATGTGTACACAGCATCATTGCATTTTTTGGCTTGTATATTTTTTGGTTTTTCTAATGCTAAAACCACTTTTCTAATAACAATAGGAAGAAACCCCTGGTACTTCAGTGGGCCGTTTGGTTGGCGACACACTGCACTACTGTGCTCTATGTAGCAATGCAACACTGATCATGATGGCGTATACAAAACTAACTTGTTCAATATATTATTAAAAAAAAATTTTTTTAAACTTTGCATCAACTTTACAAAATAAAGGACAAAATGCTTATTTTAGAAAATAAATAAAGTTAAAGGACAGAGCAGTGAAATAAAGGACTGTCCTCTTAAATAAAGGACGTATGGTCACTGTAACTATAACTATATAACATCAAGTATTCCAGGAACAGTCAAATGGGCTACTCAAAGCTGGCATAGTTGCTTGGACTAAACACTTAAACATGATATTCTTAGCAGAGTAATGTGACCTGTGATTGCTTACAACCTGGAAGTAGTCTGATTTTGGGGGCTGTATCTTGCAAAGGGTCACATGTAGAGGTATAGTTCCTTTGACTTGTTTGCTCCTATGGGTATAGACATACTCATAGGAGAAAAAATTCCAATGATCTCATTCAGAGGTGTAATTGTATCTATTGTCACTCCTCCCACAGCAGCCACACTTCTACAGCTTCTGCAGAGTACTTGTGTTGCACAATGGTGACTGATTCCAACACTGAACTGCATGACACAAAATGCCTTCTCTGTTGTGGAGTTGCAATTTTTGTTTATGGCATTTCCTAGAGATTGTAGACAACAGATGGTAGTTGAAACTTGAACACTGACTGTATTGATTGATGTATGTTGCATACTTCTTGGATAATAATGATCATACAGTAATTTAAAATGGTATCTTTTATTTTGGAAGGCCCTGTATAATTGGTATGCAATTATAGTCTGTGTTGTGATATATAGTAAGGCATTAGACTACAGTCAAATAATTGTTTTTGTATGTTCTGATATTATATATTCATTTTTTACTTTGAAATTAGTTACGGGGCCATTTCGAGCCACTCGGCTTTGGCACATCTTAATCGATTGTCTGCGTTCTGAAGTGGTCGTGAAACGTCAACGTCACAATTTTTTCAGGCAGTACGACAATGTATTTTCTGGAAGTAATGCCGTCGACGTAATTGATTCTCATTTACGACAGATGGAAAGTGAAATATGTAAACAAGAAATCACTAGAGAGAATGCAGTCAAAGTAAATTATAGGTGTCTTGTTTATCTTTTATTCTTGATAAATGAATTAAAATAATTAATGTAAATTTTATGCAGGTGTGTCAAGTGTTAATGGATAACTCTATATTTGTATCAGTGCCATATGGATTAAAAAAGTTTGAAGATAGCAATAAAAGCTTTTATAGGTTTATTGAAGATAATTGTGGAACTTCAAAAAATATTTGGTAAGTTATTTTTATAAAATACTTACTTAAAATGAAAATACATTTTTATCTTATGATGGGTATTTTCTTACATAAAGAAATATTTAAAAAAAGTGTAAATGATATCTTGTCTTATAAAAATTAAATCTTTCTTTTTTTATCTAATTAATTAATTATTTGGATTTCTGTTATTAAGAATTCAATTAACATTTTTGTAATTTTTTATAACAGTTTTGTTTTTCTATGAAACTTCTGAGTACTGTTTTAATTTTCTTGGTAATTTATTATAACACATTTATATTCATAAAAATATTATTTCCTTTAATTATCTTACATAAGACCTGGTAATTTTTAGCACTTACAAAAGTCTCCTTGCAAAGAAAAATCAACCAATTAAACTCCTACTTCAAATCAATCCATTTAACAATAAATTCCACTAAAACAAAAGTTATCATATTCCATAATAACAGCAAAATTTTGGAAAAGGAATCTATGATATATCTCGACAAGAATCCTCTGCAGATAGTAAACAAAATAAACTTCCTGGGAGTTATCTTTGACTGGAATCATACATTCAAAGCACACATCTCTAGTTTAAATAATAAAGTAAAACTAACTATTGATAATGTTATTTTTGTGCTATACTTTAAAAACTTTAAATCTGTTTATCCATATGAAACACTATAACTCGATAATCAACCAAATCATCTACTATGCTAGTCCAATCTGGGGTCTTGATTACTTATACAAATTAGAAAGTTTTCATATCTATTTCCTCCGTAAATTACTCCATTTGGAGAGAACTGTTCCAAGTTACACTATATGTCACAAAACTAATCACATTGGTCTTTTCCCTTCTTCCTAAAATGAATAATTAAATTTTACTACTGTTTAAAATTCAAAAGTGACAGCATTATTACTTTCTTACATCAAGAAATAATCAAATATAGTAAAAAATCAACAACAGAGCATCTTTGACAAATAAGTTAAATAATATATTGAACTCATTTGGAGTATCAGATCTACTGTTTAAAGACAATATCCAGGACTGGAAATATGGCTATACTCTGTTACTGGAATCTGCAATTTCTCATTCTATAAATAAAGACCAAGCCAGCCTAAACTGAAATAATTACCATCCCTGGTATCTAAAAATTCTAAAAATCCCATCCTCTCAACCTTATATGAATAAACTATAAATCTCAATGTGAAAAGATTAATAGCACAACTACACCTCAATAAATACTCTCTTCATTGGTAACATCTATTGACTATTGAACACAAGACTGTGTTATGTTCAATAGTCAATAAATACGAAAACACGGTTTCAGAAAACAAATCAACATGGTAACATCTATATTAATCTTTCAAGCAACCAGTGCCAATGGTGTAAATCCGACGACTTCTCGATCACCATTTACTATAGAATTGACAAGGACTTGCAAATGTACGAGACTCATTTAATATCATGCGAATACTCCAATGTAATCCATCTCAACTTCAGAAATAACCTAAATAACCTCAACAAAAAAAGACCTTTATAATTTATACAATTACTTCACCAAGATTGTAAAACACTAGAAAACTAAGATAACAAATTCAATGTGTACTAATATTGTAAAATTTGACTATTTCTGCATAGCTACTTTTGTTAAAACTGTTTTTTTTTGTTTATGTCAATAACAGGTTGACACAAAACTTATTGCATAATAATTGTATAAATTTGCAAACTTATTAACTGTTCCAATACCTTGTAAATTTCTAATTAAATTATGTACTACCCCCTGCAACAGGGATATTTTCCTCTTGTGCAAATAAAGATTGATTGACTGATTATTTTACATAACAAAAAATATATTTCCTTATAACATATGAAATGCCAATATTTTAAGATCCATATAATTAATGTTTTAATTTTTAGATTCAAACTAATTTTGTGCAGCATAAATACCTTTTTAATATTTAAATTAAAATAATTTTTAGTCATCATCCAGTAATCTTATACTGTTAAGTCTGATATAAATTTTTCTTTTTCTCTGCATTGATAATTCCAAGCAATATATATTTTTACAATATACTCAAAGCAAATAATTATTGTTTATCTACATATAAATCTTCTCTTCATCAGTTTTAATAAATATACAGATTTTTGTTAGCTAACTTGAAGACAAAATTTTCTTGTAGGTTTATTTCAAATTAATTGTGCTTCTGTATCATTATTTTTAAGATATTCATATTATATACTATAATAAAGAATCTCATCCAAATGTTTTTGTGAGTCACTTCCAATGTTAACTTAATGAAACTTCATTTAATAAAAATACAAAAAAAGGACTTTTTTCTATCTAAACCTGTGAGATAGAAAGAGAGAATTTTTGATTTATAGTTATGTTATTTTGAGCCTTAGAGTTGAGTCAAAGTAAAAAGTTTAGTAAAGAAAAAATTTAAAGTTAATGAGATCACCAGAGATGGCTGCCTCTGTTTTGTCCTTTTGTATATATTTATAATACTACCCTTCCAGTAATTTACGGTGTAAATATTCTTTTTCAAGAAAAAAACTAGTTGAAATATTTTATGTTCCTTATTTATCATGTTATATGTTCCTTTATGTTAACAGCAGCCTAGTTAAGTGGACAAGGTGTTTGACTTACTATCCTGTATGATGCAGGTTTGAATCGTGCTTCTTTTTAAAAAGTTTCTTCTAATGTTTATTGAATTTTATTATTAGTATAACATATTTTTTTATTTTTAACAAAGAAAATGTAATTATAAGATTTATTTTCTATGCTATAAAAAATATTTTAAATTATTTTCAACTTTTTTCTTGTGATTTTTATTTCTACAAGATTGTTTTATATCAGCAATGTATGTGCAGTATATAGAAAGTTTCTTTCTTATCCAGTCTTGAATTATTGGTGTAGCAACATGAACAAGTTGGGTTGTCACATGATATGAACCTTTTCAGTGATTGATCATAATTATAACTAAAAAAGTTTGTATTACACCAATAATTCAACACTTGAAAAGGGATTTTTGTTATTGTGTACTCTTGCTTGCTGCATGTCTGAATATACAAATTTTAAAATATTGAATTACAATGAATAAAATGTTTAAAGTGTTTGGCAAATAAATGCTGTAATAACAAAATACTAATTTTCTTTGTTAAAATTAGAAAAATATTTTGCACAATAATATTGCTTCAATGAAGATTAGAAAAGCTGTTAACTAAAAGTAAGATTTGAACCTGCAATATGCAATATGATACACAAACATCTTATCTACTCAGCTATATCGCTGTTAACATATTATCCATATAACAAAATACATAAGAAATACAAAATTTTAAACTTGTTTTTCTTGAAAACACATGAGAGCTGCATTGAGTGGCTTTACTATGAATTGCTGGAATGGGTAGTACTAGGATATATATTGAACTTGGAAAAATTGGAGGGGGCTATCTCTGGTTGTCTCCTTGTTAGATAAAAAAAAATATATATATCATTTTTAATATTTGAATCCTTCTCTTTAATCAAATGTAATATTTTAGTCCTATTTATAAATAGGAAATTATTTATGATTTATTCTTATAAATGAATGTTGTTAGAAATAAAAGTTAGTGAAAGCTTTATTTCTTGTAAGCATTTGTAGTATGCAATAATACATAAAATAACATTGTTGAGCTGACACAGCAAGCTAATCTTCATTTCTGCTGGTCACTGTGTAGCTATTGAATTGTAAGTTATTGATGTTGATTACAGATTTTTTTTTTATCTGCTAGGTTCTTTTTCATAATCAAGTTAAATGTTTGAAATTTTCAATAATTGTAATTTGTATTTTTACTCAAATAACTAATTTTATTAGTTGTAATTAATGAGTTAAAATTGTAATATTTGAGTTGTTTTGATATTCTGCAGCTGTAATATATTTGTTTTGTACTCAAAAGTCCAGTCTTCTATCATTTCTAGTTTAATAAAATTTGATTTTTTTAATCAGCATTGGTGCAAGGTTTTTTCCTTACATTTGGACCATGCAAACAGGTTCCTCAAAACAATCAAAACATCAATAAGAACAATTTACTTTTTTACAACTTTATGTTACAGAATTTTTTTTACCATCTGTAAATCAAATTAATTAGTGAGGGATCAAAATACATTAAATGTTTTGATTTTTTTTTTTTTCTCAATGAAATGAATTCTAAGACTTAAATAAAACATTTATGTTCTATCAATACAAATTTCCTTTTAATTAACTTCTAAAATATATTCATGATTCTTTTCAAATCGATTCCAATTTGTAAATAAGTTATTCAAGATTTAAAAAAAAAAAATGCTTTAATTTTATTTGAAGTTTTTTATTCTTCTTGTTCCATTTATATCTAATACTCATCTTGCAATGTATTATATATGTATAATAGTGATGGAAATGAGATTATATTTTTATCTTAGTATTTTATTAATAAAGAAGAAATTTTAAATTAGCTTCTTTTTTACTTTAATCTGTATAAAAGTTAAGTTTTAATCTTTTTGAATGGCAAATATGGCGATAAACATAATGTAAAAATCCATAAACTGTTTTGCAGATTTTATACATTATTTTGTCTTCTTTTAATTTTATATTATCTTACATTATTTCTTTCCCTGAGTACTTTTTGCTATCTCCTGACTATTTTATGTCTGCATTACATATTCATATCTTCCTTGTATATTCATGTCATAAATTATTAACAATATTCTGAAAATAATGAGACGTTTATCTGAAAAGTAAACTACTTATGACTATATAAGATTTATTTAAAATAACAGTAAATATTGATTTAATACTTCATATTTTAATGCTAAAGTTTTCTGTTTATTAAATTTAAATATCAACTTATATTTCTACTTAGTAAATTAGAGAAACTGTAAGTATCAGTTGTGTAAAGTTCAAAACTGACAAATGAATACCAAATAAATTCAGTGCAACAAACCGATTACAAGTAATTTTAACATATGACAAATTGCCTGTGATAAATTGAAGTATATTTCCAATTAATGCCTGGAGAATTGTTTGCAAATTGACTACATTTCCTAATGTATGGTTTGTATAGAAATTTAGATTTTTTTTTTTTAATTTTCATGCAGAGAAATTTAATAATAAAGAGTAGTATTCTTGTGACATAAATAATTATTTAAACAATTTTTATTTTCTCACAATTTATGTTACTGCTTTAAGTAAATCATTTAGATGTCATATTTGGAATATATTGTTAATTATAAGTTTGTTATATATTGGCATTTTGGTAGAAATAATTAACAAATAGTTTCTATTAATTCAAATAATTCTGTTAAACATTTTAGGTTTTTCACATTTTCAAGAAATATGTAGGTAAAACACTGTAATGTTTATAGTTTATGATGTGCAAAAAGATTTTAGAATTTTAAACAATTTAATGTTGTAGAATATGATTAAGTAGTTTAAAATTTATGTAAGAATTTATAATAAAATCTAAAATCCAAACAAATTTTTTATAAAGTATATAAAAAAACTGTGTTACAAAAATTTAAGTAAAGGATATTTAAATACTACCAAGAAAATTATAAAGATAATGAGAAAATAATTTACTCATTTCATGTAGTTCAAGTTAGATTAACAATATTTAATCAAATATTTAAGTTATAAAAAAATACATCATAAAATCCAGCAACAAGTTGCTTAACTTTCTTGGCAACATTTGGTGGCACCATTTGTTATGATATTTTATTTAAAAAACGTTTTAGATTCTTAATTATTATAAAATGGCAAAAGGCTTAATTTTGAGGATAAGTATAGGTTTTATAAAAAAAATTGTAGATGTTAATAATGAATAAAGTTGTTATTAAGTCCAACCTTGCTTGACATATGACATGACCCCTTTATTTCCCCACCTTCTCAACCTTTAACCACAAAAATTTAATAGCATCAATTCCCTAATACACAAATCTCCCTGCAAAATTTCAGAAATTTTTGACAAAAAGCACAGGAGTTAAGCTTCAAACATGGTGAACAAAATCTTGCCCCCCCCCACAATACATAAAGAAAAAACCCTCAATTTTTTTTTTTTTGTAAGTTAATATTTTCGTTTAAATAGTCTTGACCATTTTGTAATATAATATCACTTTTATAACTATAGTAAGGTTGTAAATGAAAATTTTAAAACAGTTAATTAATATTATAAATTTGTAAATAATTTTCAGTCCCTACTAATAATAATGTGATATTAGTATAATTTGGTCAAACCTCTGAACATAGGCCACTAACAAGAACGTAAAAATGGCATTGTTTGGCATTTAATTTGTATGTATTTTTATTTTAAAAATGTTCCTGAAAAATAGCAATAATGTCCATTTTTACTTTCCAGGCTGTTATATATAACAGAGTTTTGTATGGCAAGTGGTCAAAAAAAATGACCCCTATAGATTTTTACATTTTTGGACTTGGCACCTTGAAACATCAAGAAATTCAAAAAAATTTGGGTTTCTTCTTTATGTATGGATGGATATTAGTATGTGTGGAGGACACAATTTTGTTCACCCTGTTTGAAGCTTAATAACACCTGTGCTTTTTGTTGAAATTTTTTGAAATTTTGCAGGGAGGTTTGTTTATTAGGGGGATTGGTGCTATTAAATTTTGGTGGAAAAGATCAAGGGGGTGGGGAGATAATGGGGGTTGTGTGTATCTCCAGTAGGGTCAGACTTAAAGACAATTTTATTCGTTATTAGCATTTGTACAAGCGTAAAGTTTTATAAAACCCACCCCTACCCTCAAAATTAAGGTTTTTGCCATTTTATTATAGTTAAAAATATAAACAAGGCTTTTATTAAAATATGATAACAGATAGCACCACGAAAATTTTAAATGTTGCCGGGAAAGTTGAGCAACTCATTGCTGGTTTATTTTTCTGTTATTTCATAAAATTCGGCTAAGTTTCGGAATTGGAATATTGGGCTACGAGGCTATTTTGGTTCAAGTTGCAATTTTCATAAATTGATATAAATAGTTTTCATCTGGAACCCTTGTTTTTGGACACCCTGTTAACTTTGCTAACACTGCTATGACATGAGCTGAAAAAACATAAAAATCAATTGCGTACTTCGGGGTTGTCTCAATTCAGATAACTTTATAGCGTTATCAATTATCAATTCTTATATGGATCTGTTCACCTGATTAAATGAAAATGCATAAATTATTTTATTAAAATATAATAATGCAACCTTCTTACATTATCTCTAAAAATCAAAATGCTTATTGCGAATATTTCAGACGAAAATCAATACCAATNCATTTATTATATATTTGTTATTGCTTATATGCATTTGTAATTTAAAGCTTTGAATTTAATAATTTGGATGATAATATTCACAGCCACTGTACTTTAAATTGCAATTAAAGTTTGTAATGATCTATTAAAATGGTAATATTAGATATCATACATTTAATGAGGTGAAGAAGCTAGTAAAATTATAAATTCAGAATTTAAATAAACAAACAATATATTATTATTAATTTTATTAGTTATTTGATTTCATGAATAATAAAATAATAAAATTATTTGATGCTTTGAAATTCCATAAAATAAATAAACCTTTAAATGAATTAACATATTAAATTATATGGAATAAGACAAAAAAATAATAATTCACTGATTTTGATTGAATAAAAGATTTAAAACATTGCATTTCATATTGACTTGATAATTTTTTTTTTTTCCAATTTAAAGTTTTCCTAAGTTGATCATATTTCTTTAACATAGAGAAATAGAATTTTTGTTTAAGAAACATATTTGATAGAATATACAATGAAATGGCATTGGTAAAATTAAAAATAGTTAAACTTACAATATTAAATTATGTGTAAAATAACTTCTTATTTTAGATATTGTAAAATAAAATAAAAATGAATTAAGTTTTTTTATTACTTGATTTATTTATGTTAAAGAAGTTAATATTTTAAAGTAGATTAGAATTTAATTTTTATGTAAAAAATATTGTAAATTGAAAAATTTCTATTACAAATACAATTATACTTATTGTACTAGTACTATTACTGCTAAGTAATAAATAAAATTATTTATATATTATTTTACTTTTAGTAATCCACTGATACCAGCAACAAATAACGTTTATAATCAGAAATTCTTACCTGCATCACCAGAAAGAGAAAGAAAATCCCTGGATAATATTATATCATCAAGTAAATTGTCTCCATCGATGCTTAGTGGAAGGAGACGGCATAGTTTTGTTGCTGCTGTTGTGTCTAACTTGGAAACAAATGATACAAATAAAAGAAAAATACCGAAACAAACTCCAAGGGGTATTTTTAAACAGAATAGTTTTAGAATGTCTTTATTAAAACGCAGACCAAAATATCAATGGATAAATCAGGAATTTGTACAGAAAATTAGCTTAGAAACTTTTGATGTTTCAGAAGGTAAGTATTTTTTTTTTTTTATTATAACTTTTAAAATAATTTTTATTATGTATTATATGTANTACAGAAAATTAGCTTAGAAACTTTTGATGTTTCAGAAGGTAAGTATTTTTTTTTTTTTTATTATACTTTTAAAATAATTTTTATTATGTATTATATGTATAATAATTTATTATTTTTATAATGTACAGAACTTATAAATAATACTCGTGATAAAGCATTGTGCCATTTATTAACTTTTGTTGATGTACCAATTTTGGAAGATATTTTAAATACTCCTACAAACATGCAGAGAGTGAAACTTTTTGAAGATGGACTAACCATTGAAAATGAAAATGTGAAGTTGCATACAACTCCTACAAAATATCCTTTAGCAAAAGAATTTTATAAAATACCGTGGGTACGTGCCGCCACTGCTTGTCTAATGTACGTACCTGATGGAATAGGGAAATTATGGTCTGTTCAGTCTTGTAAATTGCACAGTTATAAACAAGTGAAAGAATATTATCAAAATCTTCCATTTCCAATTTTACCCGACTCATTTTTGCCACTTTATACGTCTATATTAGAACTTCATAAAGCAACAAAATTTGATCGAACACAAAAGGCCTTGCAGCTATTAGCAACTATCCTACCTTGGCAAAGAAGAGATCAATTATATAAACTTCTATTGTTTTTAAATTTAGTAGCACAAGATTTATCTATTAATGTTGATAAAGAGGTGAGTTGTATAACACACTTTTTGTTTTTCATTTTTATTGTACTTATTCTTCAAATTATTTGATTTTATGTTTTACAGTTATCAAATGATGCAGCTGTAGTAAGAGATTTTGTTGATTGTTTTCTCTGTCATCCTCTATTGTCAAGGGAACATCGCTCAACTTTAGTATTGCTATTTGTGAAAAATGTCAAATCAATATTTAAGTTTCCACATTGGGTTTGTCATTCAGGTAACAGGAAATTTTAAGTTTTAGACAATTGTCTTTCACAGTTTTAAGACTTGATTACATAAAATTATGATTAGTAGATTTTGTTTAAATTAAAGAATACATTCAAAATAGATAAACATAATAAATGACTTTATAAATGAAACTAGACAGGATCAATACTCAGATATTTGTTGTTTTCACAGGAATTCAAATGATAGTTTGGTTTAAGAATTCTTAAATTAATTAGTGATTAATTAAAATTATTCATTATTGCATACTTTTTTTATATTTTCAGGAATTTCATTTTGTGAAAAGTATTTATTATACAGAAGTCACATCCTTACAAAAAAAGAATTGGAAAACTTATTTTATTCAATTTTCAAAAGTGATATTTCTGATAAAAAGAAAAGCATATGGTTGAGAAAATTCAAAAGATCTCATTATGAAATTTATGAAAAGTGTATACCAATTGTGTGAAACACAGACATTGGTATTTAGAAATAACAACATAAAATGTACAAATGATAAAATACTTTTATTTATTTATTAATTTTTGAAAGGGAGAGGTTTTTAAATATATAAGAAGTGATCATGTAATTTTATTTAATAAATAATTTTTTAATTAAATGTGAATTTTAGTTTTTTACAAGTATCACCAAGGAATAAACTTTAGAACACACTAAATAAGTTAGGCACAGAATCAAAACTTAGTTCTAAGTGTTGAGAAATGTCAATGATTATATCATAGTGCCATTCTGATACAAAAAATTTTACAAAGAAATTTATATATTTTCCTTTTCTCCTCAATTTTTATGTATAATATAAGATACCATATTGTTTAAATATAATACTAAAAAATTAAATTTATGCCAAACTTATTTTATATTCATCTTTGTTGAAAATTTTTCCTTATTAATATGAACATGCTATAGTATGAAATTCAATCCTAACAGTCATGGAATTGATTGTATATAATTACTGTTTAAATTTTTCAACTGTTTTATAATATAATTTTTAATTATATTATAAAACAGGATTTATACACAGATAGCTTAAAACATCAAAGTTATTATCTAAGACACAAAACAAAACAAACATTAAATGCATGAAAAAATTTCTAAAAGCATTTTTCTCCTCAAGCAAATATCATTTTCTCTTTCAAAGAAAAATTCAAAGAAAAAAACGTTTTTTAGACAGAAAGAATATAATAATTTTGTTGCTGTATCTGTTGTTTTACTAGTTATTTGTATAGAATTTTATTTGATTAAATTCAATGAATAAAAGATAAATTATTACTTACGATGGAATAATTAATATTAAATATTTTTGCTTTTTTTTTCCTTTTTTTCGTAATACTGGTTTCTATTATGTAATGTATTTATTTTATATCATTACTAACAATAAATAAAATAAGTTCATCATTTCTGTTTTAATATGAAGCAATATATATAATTCAAGATACAATTGTGTCACATTTTAATAATTCAGATATTTATTTGGATTGTACATACCATTAAAAGCAGATACTTTCTTGAATTTCTTTTATGCAAAACTTTAGATTTGCATTAAAAAATATTTTAGCTTTTATCATTTTTAATAAATTGTAAATTTGTAGTTTGTGTGAGAGGGAAGTAACCCAGCATTGAGACCTTAAAATTCCATTGTGCTGGAGTCAACTGGAAGCCGAGAGGGATGTTGCAGTTTCCTCGGCTTGATCCAGAGGCCGACACAAGAGAATCACGAGGGGCACCTCGTTCTCAGTTGAAGTTTTGGAGACACCAATACTTCTGCAAAGTTTGGGGAGTCAGCCCAGAATCTATCCTGGACCCCAGAGAGGCAAGCTAAGCTGCCAGGCCATCCAGCCAACTTTAATAAATTGATCCATTATTTAAAAGTATTTGAGCAAGTATTTGGTTAGTAATAATTTTAATTAAGAATTTTTGTATTTCTAATTAAAATTTTTTCAAATATAACATTATTTGCCATTCTATTTAGTGGCACATCTCAATTAATTCCAAGACCCCTGAGAAGATTACAATAATAATAATTTAAAAAATAAAAGTCATAAATTTATATTTATACTTGAAGTAAGATTTAGAGTGAAATACATTTTTGAAATTCTTGAAAGGCAAAAGAAAGTAAATTCACTTTTTATTGGAAGGAAAAAAATATATTTCATGTCACAATAATTTGAAAGACATATCCTTTCTTTGAACAAAAAAATTCTTTTATAATAACTACCTGAAAGGTCTGTGGCTTGAACAGAAATACCCTTAATAGTTGTATTTTTAAGTTGGCAAAAAATTGTATATTTGGAGTTCAGGTAGTTTAAAAAAATGTCCAGAATATATTCCGAATGAAGAGAGGCACATATGTAAGATTTAAAATAAAAAGAAATCACCAAATTTTGTGCCATTGCAGAATAGGAAATCTTGGCTTTCTTTCTATGTCTGTCCATTGTTTTGTTGCCACACCTCCTGCCAAAGCGGATAGAGTAACGTCTCCGATTCTGACGTTGATGTTGGCAAACGTGACCAGAGTAGACACCAAACAAACATCTTTAATGCAGTTCTTGCCCAAACGGAAACGGCAAGTCTCGTTGAATATGGGATTTGGGTGCATAGGAAGAAATTTGCTTTGATATTTTTCCAAGCAACAGTCGCTGTTCGATAGAGTTAATACCACGCAACTTTCTGAAAAAGACAGAAAAACAAAATGCATGCCATTCAGTAACGGACCTCTGAGATACCATCTTAAAATTTCTGTCGAAATTAATTATGCATTAATATTACAAGGCTAAAGGTATTTTAAGCAAGAAAAAGTAGGTGTTGGGCTAATTTTGCGAGTGACATTTAAAGCTGATAAGAAATATTTAGGAAAAAGCTGGCAAGGTTGCAGCTGGACTTTCCCAGCATTTTGTTTTCATCTTTAGTAATTACTACCATTACTTATTAAGATGGTGGCGATCATATCTCCCGAACTAATGGTCCGATTTTCCTGAAATTTTATACAAACATTTTTCCCTAATACGCAAACCTCCCTGCAAAATTTCAGAAATTTTCGACAAAAGGCATAGGAGTTATTAAGCTTAAAAATGGGTGAAAAAATCGTGCTTCCACATACTAACATCCATCCATACATAGAGAAAAAAACACCAAACTTTTTTGCATTTCTCGATGTTTCAAGGTTCCCTTGAATCCAAAAATGCGAAAATCTTGGGACGGTCATTTTTTGATTGCTCGCCATACTTTCCTTGTTATATAACAGCTGGGAAATTAAAAACGAAGGTTGGAAGACTGTCATTCGGTCGGAATCTTCGGAAGTAGGCCAAGTTTTGAACTTTCTTTTTTAAAAAGCGACACCTCTAATAAGAATTATGGTCAACGATATCTAGAATAATTCGAAATTCTCGACCATGTTTAATGGCTTACAAATTAATATTTGATGCTTCCTAGACTGATTTATTACTAGGGCAGCCTGCCATGAAAGCGAATGTAATGAACAATCAATAACTTGTGGCAACGAAACGGAATTGTGTTACTGAGTTATATTTTGGTGTTAAATGAAATTTATATTTTTACGATTAAATTTTTTAAAATATCATTTTTAAAAAAATCGGATTATTGCTAAAGGATCCATTTTAGTAATAGATTCTACACGGCATTTGTCGACGCGTACGATAAATTTTCCATCAAAAGATGGCTTTAAAACGGTTTTATCAAATGGAAAAAGTCATAAATAATTGAAAAAGGATCCCATTTCAAATCTCAAAGGCATAGAATTACTCTTCTAGAATATTAAAAAATATTGAGTATTCATTGGTTTCGTATACTGTATTTTTATACGGTCACGAGATATTTCCTACAAAAAAAAATGAAGCTTGTGAACACAAAAAATTCAGTTTTTCCTCTTAAATTTCCAGAATTAAGCTGACAGTAAACCTTTTCCGCAATAATTATAAATGATTAAGTATATAATTACATTCTTGTTACGTTCTAACGATGTGTAAGCAGTAAATATATGCAGTTTGCTTATTCTGGAAAAAATAATTTTTCTAGATATTCCAGAATGTCGAATTCTAGAAAATTCTAAATATTCTAGAATTAGAAAATATTTCAATTATATATTCAAATATTCTACAATAAGAAAAATTATTTTTCTAGAATATTTAATAATTTTAATTGTAGAATATTTAGTAATTCTACAATTCGAGATTCTGGAATATACTAAAAAATTATTTTTCTAGAATAAGCAAATTGTTTACAGTGCTTATACATTTGTCTTTTTAGAATCATCCTTCCAATTTAATATTCCAGAATAAGCAAATTGTTTACAGTGCTTATACATTTGTCTTTTTAGAATCATCCTTCCAATTTAGTATTCCAGAAAAATAATTTTTTCTAAGATTTATAATTTGTAATAATTTAGGAATTTAGTAAAGGAAGAATAAACAAAACTTACCAGAATAAGGCTCAATGGGTTCGCAGGATCTTATTTTAATAATTGTAACAATTAAATCGTTGTTTTTGTCATCATAAATGAGAGATAGTAGAATTTCACCTAGCTAAAAACAAAATGATAAAAAAATTTGCAGAATGTAGAACAAAATATAAACAAAATTCGGGGCAGATTTACGTAGGAACTTTACGAGCTTACATTTGTAGGTTGAGGCACTTGAAAGGATTTAAACGTTACGGGTTGTTCATTAAGAATAGCTTCGTAAACAGAAACCTTGAGTTCCCCAATTACTTTCAGCTTCCAGTTTTGAAGGGTGAACAGTTGGAAATAGAAAATCGATCCGGGTAGCTTGTCATAAACGATTTCTTCGAAGAGAGATTTCGAATTTAATATCGAAAGGAAAATATTTCCATTGATTGTATTTTTTTTCTTTTTAGAGTTACATACAGACTTACTATCGAAAATGAACATCTCAATCCAGCGGCGGGTGAGAGGAGAATGTTTTATTTTTCTATCGATTACATTTTTTTTGAATGGTAGAAGGCAGCAACGGAGATATAAGACACTACCTAAAACTATGATTTCACTATGTAATATCTGATAAATGAATATTTTTCGAGGTATGACTGAATTCCTCTCCATATTACACAGCCTAAGAGAAAGTATTCTTTACGAGAAAACATTATGAAGCACCGTACATTGCAGAGCACTCTGAAAACCATTTGATTAATTACAAGATGGTTTTATATACGAATAAATGCAGAGGACAATAAATTAGAAAACGATTTTGGTACAAAATATTATTTTCATTCAACAACTTCCATTAATTTTCCGAATCATCCAAAAGCGGAAACTGGAGTTATTGAGATTTTTATCAATGGTGATGAGCCATGTACTTTTCGTAATGGATGCATCACTATAATAGGCTGTGCATTACGGAGGAAATCGTATATCACGTTGGATTATACGTAATATTTAAATTTTATTTTATAAAATTTACCAACATTCAGAATAAATTCATACCTTTTTCTCCATCTTGAGAAAGAATCACTGTTATTTTAAGCGAAGAGGTATTTCTATTATAATCAAATCCACAAGAGACGTTACCAGTTACCCTATCGCAGAACACCTGTAAAAAAAACGTTAAAAATAAATAAAAATTCGTGCAATATTCAAAAGAAATTTTGTTACTAAAATTTTATTTACCTCGACTTCTGGTAGTAGAGGTTGAATGGAAATGTTATCTACACTCGTCTTCCTGTAAGATATATAAATTTTCAGGGTGAATTGTTTAGTTTTCATTGTACTTTGAAGTTTTACAACGTTAAAGGGGAATAAAATACTCAATAATTTCCTATGGCAAATTGGATTTACCACTTTCTCGGAAGGTATTAATCAGAGAAAGTTTGATGAGAACTTTTTCAAGTTTCTCTATCACGACTCTCAAGGGTCGCTTTAACACTTTCAGAAGTTAAACGTGAAGAAAATGAAAACGTGAACGGCTGCTTAACTGTTCGATTATGTCAGAAGGGTAGAGGTAAAGCTCGTGAGTGAAGTTGTACGCAAGAAAATATTTTATATCTAGAAAATTAAATTTTCTACTTGTAACATAAAACCAAAACATTCCGGCTTTAACGTTCTAATCCTTAAAAAAATAAGACATGTTTGCATGTGGCACATTTCTTCAAATGTAGATTCTCTCGTGCAAGAGGATTTGTATCTTCGAATATAAAAGTGAAAATACTAAGAATAACAATATTTTAAAATGGATAAATAGAAAGAAAATGAGAAAAAATAGCAGTTTCTTACACTTAAGAGACCTGTAGTAGCTGTAGCATACCAAAGAAAATCGATCTCTTACCTCCGAAGACCTGTAGCAGGTAAAAATTGCTAACAGTTTTTTCTGTCACGATGACGCCTGCATCTTGCTCTCTTAAACATCCAATTACATTTTAATAGTGTTTGTTTCGTCCCACTTTTTTTATTTTTTGCAAGAATGTCACAGAGATTCGCAGTGATATTGTCATGTTGAAAGGAATTCTGTAACTTTGCTACAGTATAAAGCAAACTAACCAGTTTTTAAATATTTATGCCACCATAAATAGTGTATAAATATGAAATTTGGCCGGAGGCGTATAATTTATATTTCATATTTTTAAATTTAAATAGACTAAATATTATTTATTGCCGAATAAATATTTTAGCGACGCTCGCCGTTCGATACAGAAAGAAGAATAGTAGTAGTGGTAGTAGCGATGAAAGGAAAAATTTATTCCCCTTTTTATTAAATAGATAAATTAAATAGTTGCTTACGTGGAAGGTTGCACCGTGACGGGGGTGATAAGTGGGGTCACGATGCTCACGGAACCTTGTGATAATCTGTCCTCAACGTTGTGTCTCTTCAACTCTACCACGCTATCCTTTCTCGAGCCAGAAAACGTTAGATCTTGAAATTCTCGAAATTTTTTCGGCCAAAAAAAGTAACAGAGTGCAACAGTCACGACTATGGATAGAATTCCAGCACAAAAAGCTAACACTGTAGCTAATATAACAGTCGACGACTTCATAGTTGCCTTGGTAACACAACAAAATTATTATTATTTCCTATTTGGTTACGCTGCGCTTTCGATTATACAAAATAATTAAATAATTACTTATGTAGGTCTATATTTACGTAACTATATAAAATATAAAAAAACAATTATAATTAATATCAACCCGAAAACAAAATGGCGTCAATTACATCTGTATAATTAGCAGCGCGATGCGGCGGTTGTTGAAACTTATGTAAAAATAGTTTCAGAAAATAGATAAAAGCGCCGGAACTACGATCGATTTTTTGTTTCGTGCCAGTTTTCTCGAGTATCGATCGGTATCGGGGATCGCACCAATTCGTGTGATCAAGATATCGATCTGTTTTGTCCTCACTCAGTCACGGCATTGGATATAAATCAATGCAACTGGTGTCAAAACCGAATTTCTTAGCGACGTAATTTATTATAAAAAATCAATATCGATAATTTCCACGAATTAATACACTATTTGCAAACATTTCCTGTACGAATTTCCTGTACAATAGATTTATTAATTAAGCGATAGAAAACCGTACGTTCCTATGTTGCCGCTTCCAGCGCTAGGAAAATATTCTTTGCTCCAAAAAAATTTAGAATAAAATCTTTAAAAAATAGGAATATAATCTTCATTTTGTCTTGTATTTTTTCAGCACAATTCGTGAATGCATTAGCAAAAGAAAAATTCGGAATTTACGTAAGAGAGGAAGTAATTAAATAAAAATTACGGGCGTGAATCGATAAACACAGATGCTACGAGAATTAAGTGACAAGCAGAAAACGCATGCTAATGTAATATTAAAATTATTTTGTATTACTGAGATGAAGTATCAATACACGGCTTACTGTTAAGTCATCGCTGTGTGGCAAGAACTGCAGTTTATGCTTTCCATGTTCCAATATAGCGGGACGCTACTTTCTTCTATATAAACGCAGTATACGTTGATGGTTGTCTGTTTCGTCCCTCTCGCGGCCATTGAGACAACTAATTGCGGCCATTTTGAATCATTGATAACCTTTAAAACTTTCACTTTTCTCTTTGATTTTTATCAAGCTTTCGAGAGATTACGCCTTAGATAGTCTCGTTTTAAACCGATAAAGTATAAAAGAGACATAAAAAATGTTTTATTTATTTCTCTCTTATATTTTTGCACTTAATTTTTCTAAATGAAGAGTGTGTTTTACTTTATACCTTCTATTTTTAATATATATGTATATATATATATATATAAAATTACTAAATGTAGCTCTCTAATACACATTTAGATAGATTTCCGATAAGGATAAACTGGCTAAAATATTGTACTATATATCTTTTGATAGATCATTTGATCAGTATCATTCAAAATTACGTTCGAATTCTGTATGTAGCATATTATAGATGAAAGTCGGGAAGGGCATTATCGTCCCAAAGAGAGCCATAATTCTGTATAAGCTACGAAGAGACATTTACGATCAACATTTTGACAGGATCACCTGCTTAACATCCACAAAACTAATTCGATATTTAACTCTTCGAATCCCACCCGATAGCATATAAACTACCTTAAAAATATGACAGAAATTTACTTTTTTCGGAAGTGAAAATATTAATTAATTAATTAATAACCGAGTAATTATCAGTCTAACGAGTTATTTATATGCAAATTATCGCGCATGTTTTTTTTCTTTGCTCCAATTCTTGCAACTAGTGTAAGGTAAGGCTGTAAACATTTTCGGACGACAAACGGTATTTTGGACACGGATCAATAAACTGGTGCTGGAGGAGGAAGTGTAATTATAAGAGGAAACCAGTTACTAGAGGAAGGAGTAGAACGATAAAATACGATTTGATAACTTATATTTTCGTTGGTTTTATGTTGTAGAATAGGAATAGATCTGCGTGCGCAGGATCCAAGGTAACTGCAAGGTCGAGCTGATCAATAAATCGCGCCGTTGGATAGCAAAGAGTTGAGATGGAATTTTGACAACCTCGAATTGTCAGCTCGTGAATGAAAATGCAAACTATAATCATCATAAGGGCAGAATCTTTTAACAAAATCGATTTTCTTCGGGTTACTCTTTGTCTTTGGCTCTCGTTGCTCTTGACATTATAAACTGATAAGAGGCATAAGAGGAAAAATAAAATAAAATAATAAAGTTCTACACACAAAAATTCATTAAGATAATTTAAATTTTACTTAAACACATAAAAATAATAATAATAAATTTTAAGAAGTTAATTAAAGATGTTTTAATGATTTTTTTTTTAAATTAATTGGGGCTTTTTAATGTGTTTTGAATAAAGTTTCGTTTTGTTTATATTTAAATTTAATTAACATTTACTAAACATTTATTTATTTAAATAATTTAAACGTAAATTTATATAAAAAATAGTTTTAATTATACATATTTAATCATAATTAAGGGAAGAAAACATTTAAAATAAGCTCGGGAATATCTACTGAGAGATTTTCTAAATCTCAAATTATAATTTTGGTAAATTTAGAGTTATAATACACGAAATGATATTAATTTGATAAATATTGAGTAATACAGGAGATTTGAAGTCATTAATATTTTAAGTTAATAAATATTAAGCTTGAAAATATAATTAGATAAAATAATGACATTTAAAATTTGGAATTTGTTAGGGAGAAATGCCCTTTGGGGAAGATGTCTTTGGAGAGTGGTACCTTCAGGAAAAAATGTCTCATATACGAGTTTAAAGACATTTTTACTAAGTTTATATAGTTTATTTATTTATTTTTAAAATTAATACAGATAATGTTCAACAGAACAAGAAAAAACAGCTTCTTCTTATAAATAAATTATATAAATTAATGCAAATTATAAATGGCAGAGATGCCCCGTTAAACATTTTTTTAGGTGGCGCTAACGATTATTAGCGCCACCTAAAAAAAATGTTTTATATCTTAAAATATCGACACTTCTTCCAAATTATAATCGAATTTTAATTTTTGTTAAATACAAATGAATAAATTTGCAGAATTTTAAAAAAAATTTATTTTCTGTCAGATTAACGATAAATTTTTCTCGATAAGCTAATTAAAATGAGAAAAAAGAAAAAACTGAACGCCGGAAAAAAATTACGCGAACGACAAGTGCGGCTGACGAACGTGACTAAAATTATATGCGAATATAAACATTAATGAATGTACTTGACATTAATTGAATGTAGTCTTTATTAAAAACAATTTATCGGAAGAATAATAAACAGAGAGAGAGAGAGAGAGAAAAAAAAAAGACAACACTACTTCTCCTATTGACACACAGCCCCGAATATTAGTTGTTTTTTCCGACGCACGACGTCGCTACCGTCGGTGCCAGAAACTGTGTTATCCGAGTTGTGGGCTTTACGTAGGTCGGACGGAGAAGCGAATCGCAACTTAATTCTAAAACTAAAAAGGTTATAATGTGGCGTATGGATTGGAAAGGGTTCGGACCAATTAATTATTTTTCTATCATTATAAGTAACTAACAGGTGAGTTATTCTCTCAAATTTATAAATGTAAAAACCTTGAAATTGTATAGAGGAAGCCGATGACTCCGGGGATTTGCGGAGACTTTTTTCTTCTCTTTAATTCTCTTTTATACGATCCGATTATGTGTTTTTTATTTAATTTTAAATTTTAAGTTAATTACTAAGGGTTATATTTACGTAATTAGGATGTATTTTGGCCGGTTTATACGTAAAAAATTAATTATTTCGCCTGAAAAAGTAGCGTATAATAAATATATATATTAGAGATGTGGATAGAGGTCGAGATGGTTTTATCTCGGTTATCTTGCCAGAAAACTAATCTCGCTAGGCTGTCAATTAAGCTTTTTCCATGTTTTCCCCTTTCATTTCTTCTTATCTGATAGTTGAGTAGACTTTACTAATTGAAGGTTATTATACAATATTTGATTTTCGCACTCCATAGGTAATTTAACGATACCCGTTTAAGGGTGTTTTCTCTACGTATTTTCGAATTATTTCTGTATTAAAAACGTACAAAATCCGATCTTGGTATTATTTTCCACGTATCCAGTAAACCCGAATGTGTTTTATAACTCAATTCGGGTTTAAAATGACACGCTTCATCGTCACCTTTCCATATTGATTCATCTTCCCGCTCCACAGCATCATCAGTTTGTTGCCTTACTTTAATTCTTTTCGGGGTTTAGACGTTGAAATTTATAAAGAATATTGTTCGAAAATTTAGTAAATTAATTTTTCTTACATTTCTGTTGATTCGGATAACGTTAAATCTGTCGATAGAATCACAAAGGTAGGCCACTAACGTGGATCCATTATGTCAAAAGTCGATGTTTTGACTTATGGCGACCGTTTATACATTTTCAGTAATTTATAATCTGTCAGTGAGTATGAATCATTAAAATATTTCTCACGCATGAAAGTTTATAGCGAATATTTTATTTTAAAATTCGATTTGTTTTTTGTTTTTGTTTTTCTACATTAATCTTCACAATCTTATGATAAACAGGGTTACGTCAGACGTTTTTAAAGCTCTTTTTTTGTTAACTTAAATTGTAATTTAGTTAAATTCTTACTAAGAACAAGCTTAAAATCTTCATAACTGTATAAAAATCTAGTTTCTGGGACGTCTTTAGGGAAATATACGGCATTTTCTAGTTTATCTCCTACACAATTATGTCGAGAAATTGGATTTTCAATCCGTCTCTCCGTTACAGTTCGACGCTGTTTTACTTATTCCAAGTTAAATTTCCAGCAGAAAAATATAATTAAGAAGCAAAATAAAAGAAGAAAGAACCGGAAATTAATTAACTAAACAATAAAACTGATAGGATAAACGGGTTTAATAAAGTCTTAAGAGAAGTACAATGACGAACGTTCTTTCTTTGCAGGGGTGATGATCCAATTATGGGTGCTTCTACTATACTATTAGCAGCCGTGCTGGGTACCGTTACAGCCGCTGTATCAGTGGTTGTTACGTTAGGATTTTGTTTTTTGTATTGGAAACGACGAAAATTGAACAAATTTCCAGATTCGGAGGAACAACAGCCTCTACAATTGCTCCAACAGACTCCTGTCAGCGAATGTGTAGGACAAGCCACTGCAGTAACGCCTACATCCTTGTGAGTTTCTTTTGTCAGTCTATTCTTTCACGCAACGTGTAGGTGCCAGCTTAGATTCTATAGAGTTTTTAACTCTTCTAAAGCTCCTCTTAAATTTAATTTGGCATATTTAATTCGGTTCTACACTAATATTAGAAACACGTATCCTACAGAATGAACGGTTTTAAAGGGAGCTTAATGTAGTAACGCTAGAGACTCCATGACGAAAATCGAAAGATTACAATTGTAATAAAGTTAATTATACCGAAGCGGATGAGCCAATCGATGCTCTTCTCTTATCTCTACACTCTGCGAAATTTAGAAGAGTTTTCGAATGTAATTTTATTTAATAAAAGCATCCCAAAGCTAAATAATAGTAAATTAATGGGAAGAATCGGGAGCTTAAATTATAGAAAATTAAAGCTCCCGATTCTTCCGATTAATTTACTATTATTTTAAATTACGATTTCCCATTTTTCCATTGAAATTTTAACGCACTTATACGAGAATTTTCAATTATTTTATTTATTTTAAAAGCATATATTTTAAGATTGCTTAATGTTAATTTGTAAGCGACGTTTATAATTGTAATCCTATTTTACATGCTTCAGGAATAACGTCGAGTAAGTATACTGAAATTTAATTAAAAGCTCCTTAGATCTAAAAGCATTTGAACCCCATTCATTTGCATATTGAAAGCCATTCTAAGATCACAAATTTTGAAATTAATTAAAAATTCGATAGAATTCCGTTTGCGCGTGAAATCGTTTGTCACGTTTTAGTATGAAGTGAGCTGAAATGCTGCCATTTACACGGCCAAATCGCCGATTTCGTATAGAAATGTTTATTATTGTTGGGTCCGTGAACGTGATTTGTTCGAAAATGATCGGTGTCACGTTGTTCTGTTGCCGTTTTTATGTGTGAAATCGACCGAAGTTGTTGCACTGGAATGGTTTCTACTCGCTTTTGTGAACGTTTCCAGTTTTTTCTTGCTCGCTTTCGTAAACGTGTGTTTTTTATTTTATATGCTGGATGGATGAGCACTGTTTAGCTTTCGTGCTCGCTAAATGAGCACCATTTAGCTTCCAATACGTGTTAAATGAGCTTCTGTGCTGGCTAAATGAGCACTATTTACTTTACTCGCTCGCTTCTATCAGAATTTCCTACCTTTCACGAACATTTTTGCAAGCATTTCTTACTTTTCTCTAACTCATTATCTTCCATTGGCACGAAATAATTTACTAAATTATCACTTTTTCCACTTCCTTTCTTCAATTCTAGCTACATTCTCCACAAATTACTAATTAAACGCATCAAACCTTGCGTGATATTTAACAAAATTAATGTCTTAAAATATATCTTGTAACTACTTTCAAACAACAATCTGATCTTAAATTAAAGCTTAAATATAATACATTTTTAACAAAGAATTTAGCCGAAACCAAGCAGAAATTATTAAAACCAGTAAGTTAGATTAATATAATGGTTATATTTGGGTGGAGTTGGCTCTAAAAATGATACGGGTTGATGGTCTCGTGTATTTACAGAGCAACAAAGGGGTGTAATTTGGGAAAAACAGCTGTCGTAAACAAAGCCTTTTGAATTTATGACGGTAGAATATATAAAAGATAAAACGGGGTTTAATTATTAGAAGAAGAAAAATCGATTGGCGAAATATTTACAGCCGACAGAATTGGAGTAAAAGAGGACATTTAACTTAATTACACCTCTGAGAATCAAAGACTAGTTGCATCTTTCCGTATAAATTCTTAATTACATTAAATGTTATAATAAATAACTTTGAATACAAATGCTTATATCTACAAAAAGATTAACATTTCTAAGTGTTGATTTAAAAGGATTCGCGAATCTTTTTAAGTGTGTCACTTAAGCAAAGGTTAAGAAGTGTTGGGAAGTCTTACAAGTGAAAATTCAGTTTGTATAGAGTCTATTCAAAATTACAGACATTTTTCAAGACATATCTTTTCGCTAAGCGTAACTGAATGTAATTCCGAAGAATGTGACTTCTGTAAGCGTAACTGAATATAATTTATAAAAATTTGCCTTTTCTCTAATCGTAACTGAATATAATTCTGAAGAATGTGCCTTTTCTATAAGCGTCACCGAGCTTAAACTAAACTTTACATTATTAAAATATATGAAAGAAATAAAAAATTCGAAATTAAATTTGGAGAAAGAAGACTTTTTTAAAGAATTTAAACATTTCTAGAAGGATTTAATATAATTTTTATCTAAACTTTAAGACGTGGATAACGTTTAAGTCCGACTACTTCGCATTATTTATTTAATAAAGAAACGTTCGGCTTTGAATCAATCCAATTTAAAATATTTATAAAACTGGAGTTTTATTTATTAATTTGTCTTTTCGTTTCCTACAAAATTTCAAACCAAATTACTCGTGTTTTGATAGAATCACTCCATCAACTTCCCTATTCTGCTTAATGATCATCTTAAGAACACTTGCATACTTAAAATTACTCAGTAATGTAGTCACATACTTTCCAGGATTCCGATAATCATTAAGGTCATACAGAGTAAGTGGGTATTTTCCCTAAATCCTCTTAGTGTGCTCCATAATACTTGTGAGTGTTACTGTGTAAGTACGTCACAGTTTCGTGGCAAAACAACGTAATAAAAAAATATATAACTGCCATTTTTTAAAATTAATTAATGATAACTGAATGCTGCCGACTCCTAAATTAATTAAAAATAAAAAAACTAAGTAAAGAAACCGAGGAAATGTAATTTTCTCCATTTTTTCCGAGTGTGTGAGCATTTTTCATATTAAAAATTGAACTTAATTCGCGTCGAGGAATTCAATTTTAGCTCTCTAAAATAGCTTTTTTTTTAATATTTATATGGAAGAAATGCATCTAGAATATAATTTTATCAATTTATTTATGTAAATTTCAAGTTTCGTTTAGATTATATACGTTGATTAAAGATATATTTCTCCCGATTTTAAAGCATTAAAGTCAGATGATGTAGATATTTCGTTTAAATATTTGAAGAAGTGTATCTTGTTGCTGAAAATTCGGATTTTGAATATAAAAATTTAATTGTTTTATGGATATTTTTTCTGATATAAAAACTACAAAATTTGTTAAATAAATCAAGAGTCTCTTGTTTCCTTAAGTAGTTCGAAGTATGTAAACATATCAAAGAATTCAATTAAGACCTTTCGAAATATTAAGATGATGTCTTTTTCTTTATTTATTTGCAGAGAAATGTATCTAGGGTTTACATATTTTTTAATAAAAAATTATCTAGTGAGTTTACTTTATGTGGATAATGAAAAGATGATAGTTTCTCTTTCCTCTCTTCTCTCGCTCTTCTCTCTTCCTCGATCTCTCCCCTCTATTCTCTCTTGTTCTTCTCTGTTCCTCGATCTCTCTTCTCTATTTTCTCTCGCTTTTCTCTCTTTCTTTCCCTCTCTTCCCTCTCAGAAAATTTTACGTAACAGATGCCTGTTTTCAGGAGTTAAATCTCAATTTCATTGAGTTACCAAGGTTTAGCTTAATTAAAAACAGGATAAAAACGCAGAATGTTGTAGAATTCTTTAGCTATTTTGAATTCAAACTAGCCTATCAATAATTATGTAAACTAAAATTTAAATTTATCATTCAAATTTGAGGATTTTTTTAGGATACATGTTTCTCGTATTTAGGGATTGAGACGAAGGAGATGAGGCGTGGATCAGTCACAAATGTGGATTCCGCTCCACTACGAAAGCCATAAAAATGCGTAAATAAAGCCGAAACCCGTAAAAATAAAATAAATAAAGCAAATACAAAAGTGATCTGTCTCTATTTATTTAAAATTATATTTTTTATTTAGATAATTTTCGTATATTTTCACATAAAACGCTAATTTTGATGGTTCCTGAGTTCGAAACAAAGGCTCTATTGGCTCTCTCTATACGAGCCTACATGTATACATTATAATATACTGTTACTAAAATATAGAAGATATAAGCTATATATATCAAAAAAGGTAGGCCATTCACAAAATAAACTTAAAAATATTCAGTCGAACCTCTAAACAGTGACCATTTTCTCAGGAACGTTTCCCTAAAATGCTTACAGCATAACCTCCAAACAACGGCTACTTTCACGCTTCTTCCAGTGTCCGTTGTTTACAGGTTCGACCTACAGGTGCATAAAATTTATTATATTACCATTAGAATCACTTTCAACGAAAATTCTTCAATTTTTAAATAATTTAACACCCTTTAATTCACATTTAAACCTTCACACGTGGCAGGATGCGTTATTTGTTACTCAGCGAATGACAAATTTAAAACGCATCCCCATTATACAAATAACAATCCGATAATAGTATTTTCTAGCGATTTATTATATTGACGTACGGCATTTTCTCCCCTTTTCTGCATCATTACCATTTTCTCTTTTCCGTCTATGACAAGTAACATTTGTATTCTCGGTTAATCACGTCTTCCAAACCTTTCTAAATTTAATCGATATAACGTAAAGCGAATTTACTTTAATATATTGTATCGTGTATTCTCCGTCTTCCATGTCAATGTGTAAAATGTAAGGCCGATAATGATCAGAATTTTACATCGCTTCATAAAAGTATTGTACAAAAAGCGACGTACAAGTACGAACTTGTTAAATTTAATAAAAGAAACCTTTAAATTAAGAAAAAATTCGGGTTTTTTTAAGTTTATTTGCTCCAGAAAATAAATTAATATTTAATAATTAATAAGTAAACAATTTTTTAATTACATCCCTTAGAGTTAAACTAGCCATTTTCTTCATTTATTCTTATCATTATGTCTTTACTTTTAAAGGAATTCAGTTAATAACTCATAATAAAATCATTTTCTTTAATTTTTAGAGTAAAAAGTATTATTTTTATCATTAATCTTTTATTTTTCATTTTAAATATTAAATTAATAAATTAAACAAATAAAGCAAACAAATAAATTATTAAATAGTTTCACCTTTAGTATTAAGATCAAAACCCTAATTTTCTTCCCCTTTATCAGCATTATTCCTTTATTTATTTTTTCTTCTTTTAAAAGAAATCAGTTAAAAATTCATAAATAAATCCATTTTTTAAAAATTATTCTCCTTTTAAATTTTAGAATAAAATATACTACTGTAATTTCTTTATTTTATTTATTATTCTTTTAAATATTAAATTAATAAATAAAGAAAGTTGTAAAATTTATTATATTCTATTCCGTATAGAGAGGATTTTTCTTTACTTAATTTGACTTTTTAACTACATATATTCTATACAACTGTACTATCTTTTTTATCCTGCTATCTTCCACCTCTTTATTGATCCTTTCTGATTGACATATCCGACTGTTTCTTATATCTTCTACTCTTTCCCTTTAAAGAAGTTTATCTTCTTATCTTAGAAGGATTTTCTCTCTTCATAAATGTGCTCTTCTCTTAATATATTTTTTTCATATCAACAAGCCGAAGCTAATACATAATTATACCATTATAATATATAGCTTTTGTTCGATTATAATTCTCTTTTTTCTTTCTTCTTCTCCTCTTTCTCCATCTCCTTTTTCATCCTTCTTCTTCCCCTCCTCTTACTCCTGCTCTTCATTCTTTCCCCCTCCTTCTTTTTATTCGTACTCTTTGCTCCTCTTCCTCTTCCTCGCCCTTCTTCTTCTTCTTCTTCTTCTTTATTCTTCTTCTTCCCCTTCTCTTCTTCCTCCTCCTCCTCTTTCTTCTTCTTGTTTTTTGTTCTCATTTTCCCCCTCCTCTTGCTCATTCTTCTTCTCCTTCTTTTTTTCTTCTTCATCCTTTGATAATTGAAAGAATTTTTTTCAACTTTCCTTTAGAGTACACAACGGAAACAAAGAAGAAGATGTTGGACCAATTGCTTTCTTACAAGCTCTTTTACCAAGCCTCGAAGTAAGTGCAATTCAATTTTTTTAAAGTTTTCATCAACGAAAAAATATATGTATTATTTTCTAAATACTTTAAGTCTCTGTTTAAAAATTCTTTTCCAATTATTCACTGTTTAAGCTTATTTAAGTAACGAAGGAGGTTGAAAGCTGTTGAGTGGAAAGTTAATTTTAATGCAAGGAAATTAAGCCACGTCTGTGACAGATGCTTTAAAGTTAGAATTAAAATATTTTTAGATATTTTTTCTACCCTCATATAATGAAAAAAGTATGTGTGCTTTTTAATATTATTAAAAGAAAAATTCTTGTCAACTCCTAAGGCAACTCTGCTCAAGGGCATCTCTCAGATATTTGTTTCTAATCGATCGTTTTTTAGACATCTTCTCCGCATTTCTAAACAAATATAACGTTTTAAAAATGTTATATTTAATAAATTTACTTAATAATATTAAGTAAAACACTTTTAAACAATGGTTTCTGTAACTAATCTTCGTAATAAATGCTCTACCTCGGTATAGCGCCTCCAAATAACGCCACCCTCGTGAAAACGCCAATGAATACACGCGTATGGATCTTCCACGTAAATATTAAGTATAATTTGTGCTATAAACGACATTATTATATAGATCTCATTCTTATTGCTTGGTGTATTTCGATTTAGTGCCAATTTCGAGTGGCGCTAAATCGAGGTGTATATGTCTTTCGTGTTAACGCGTTTCTTTACAAATTTCTGGTGGAAATATTAATTTAATTTTTTTTTTTTAAATATATTTAAATTTCGAAAAAATTGATTAAAAGTAATAAATATAATATAATTTATTATTTAAAGAGGATTCAAAATGATTATAATGGCGAGAATACTTTTAAATACAGTAGAACCTCGAAAACTCGGCTCTCGATAACCCGGCACTCCGGATAACTTGGCCACACCCTAGCAGGGCAAAAAAATCCTTAGTTAATTAATTTTCATTATAGACAGCTTTATAAAAGTATAAAAGCTCTCATAAAGTATTTTTCTGAGGTCTGTCTTATCAGGTAAATTACTGTACACAATGTATTCATTAATTTTCATTTTCATGTAGTAAAGGCTCTATGCCTTCATAAAGGACGTACTTTTCCTTTGTTTAAGGGTATTTGGGCAGTTTATTCTCTGTTGAATTCTGAGGTAAACAATACATACAAGTACAGTACAGTATTTTCTGAGGAAACACTCGTACTTATTTTTTTTAACCCCATTCCCCATAACCCGGCATTTTCACAAACTCGGCTACCCATCGGTCCACATTAGACCGAGTTTTCGAGGTTCTACTGTATTTGTAAACAGAGAATAATGATTATTATGATGATTTTAATATAATAATAACAAGAATATTCGGTGAGATATGAAAGAGGAGAATGTTACAAATTCCATTTCTATAATTGGATACTTAAGTAATTAATAAGTACAGTACCTTTAATATCAAAACCTTGTCAAATATTCGTGTAAAATTGATTAAAATTCTATAAAATTCTTTTCTAAATAGCCATATTATTACGTAAATAGCATAACAAAGGCGAACAGACAGACAGGCGTTACTAGTTGAAAGCAGTTGGCATCACCTTTTAATCAATCCAAATGGCAGCATTTTCTTTTTCTTGCCAAAAATAACTTTAAAAAATAACGAAATTAAATTAAAATAATGCTTTTTACATTCATTTTAAGCTGGAAAAGCTATTTGAAAGTAAAATATTCTAGTTTATTCTCCTTTGTTAATTCCTTTATCGGCTTACAAACTGAATATTAAACACATTAATAATGTGCCACTCATTTATAATCCTTAAATATGAATAATTTGCCAGTTTATAATATTAAATTAATTACTTAATAAATAACAAAGGTGTTAATTATAACTAAAGAATCCTCTACTCCAAGCCGCATAAATTTGTCGTAAAAAGCCTGTAAGGTAAGTCGATCGGTTTAGATTATGTCTTTTATAATGAACTCGCCGACCAAAATATATTTCGAGCTTATTAAGTGGTTGGTCGAAGCAGGGGATGAATTAACTTAAGGCCATAAGTTAAGCACCCACCAACAATGGGAGATAGCAGTTGATTATCTTTACCGAAGATCGATGCATTCATATCAATTGTATCTCACAGCATGTTGCTCCCGTTTTATAATAAAGAATTCTTCCCGTACACGTCCCACGCTTAAAATTCAAATAACTGTACACTACAACAACAATATCGAGTAAAAAAAAAAATAAATATTGAGCCAGTGTTGCAATTTCCTACTTGGTATCTCCCTCACGATGGCTCTTCTTCAGCGATTCTTCTGAAGATGCTTCAAATCCAACAACAAAAAACAAATCCGATCCTGCAAATCTTTACGACTTATTAGAAGTGGAATATAGATACTGTGTCGTAAATAGGATTTATGTCATAGGTTACACGCCTAAAGAAAATTATTAACTGTGTGTGACAGTCTGGAATACATTCTTTATCGTTACAACAATGGCGTGGCTTATATCATGATTCTCCATGCATATAACACGCATTTACTCATTATAGTTCGCGTTGTTATCTGTTTTACTTAAAAGAAAAATAAAATCATCCTTTCTAAAACTAAAATAAGCTGTGTAAACTAAGATATATGTGTATTAAATATATTGAAATGAATATATAGGCGAGAAGGCATCCTATCAAAGGTATATCGAATTATATCGAATCAATTGTAATGAATTGTATCATGGCCTCATAAATCTTAAACATGAAGGAGTTTGAATGTATGCCCCGAGTTCAAACACAAATTTAACGTGATTATGATAATCAAACTCCCAATCGGCATATAATTTGATACCTTCTCTAACATTCCATGCATTTCGGTAAGTGGACGACGCCAAATATTGATGATAACGCTTGAATTGTAGTTAGTTAAGCGTATGATATAATAATCTAGGTCGATAACTGCGGATATTTTTATATTATTTAAAAATTCAAGACGTGTTTTAGAATAATCAATAAAGAAATTTAAGTATATAAAACTTCCTAAGTGCTAAAATAATATGAAACGAAGCTTTCAGATTCCTCATTAGTTTAATCTGTACCTACGCATCTTATAACGGAATTAAACTTTGAATTATTATTTAAATAATAAATATCATATTATAATCCAATCACATATGAAAGAACCTAAGCTATCAATCAAATTAACTGAAGGAAACCGAAATTACACTTTACTACTGATTTGATTATAATTTCCCTTCAAAATTTACAAAATTTGGCATATATTAAAAGAAAATTAATTGGGATAATAATTTAAAACGATTTAAATTTAAAAGTTTGATATATTTATAACGCAATTTAACAATTTTACATGATAAATGAATATATTTACTTAAACATTTTCTAAGTTACGATGATTTTATGATGAGCCCAACCAAAAATTGCTCAATCCATTCTCCTAATTTCGTATCCTAATTTTGTTTTATTATAAGGAATATGTAAATAATGAATGATTAAACAGTTATTCTTTAATTGTTTATAATTAAATTAAATTAAATGAGTTATTTTTAAATGAATAAATCGATAAAACTGATTTAATATTCCTTGTATCTTGAATATGTCATATCCTCAATTTTACATTTGAAAATCAATAAAACTCTTACTTTATTAAAATATATTATAAAAATAAATAAAATTAATTGCTTAATTTATTATTATTTTTTTTACAAAAATATTTCGTAAAATTAAAGTTACGTAAAGAATTTTTAATTATATCATTTGAAGAATTTTAATTATTGACATGATTAATAATTGCTTACAAATATTTATACATATGAAACTATTTTATATTTAATTTTCTATTTTAGGAAACCTTTGGTAATTCTTCAGGAGAGAGTGCCGGCCAGATACATTTTACTTTAGAATATAATTTTTCCGATTCGAATCTTATAATAAAGGTTCTGCATGCTAATGGCTTACCAGCTAAAGACTTATCAGGTGATACTTGTTGCATGTAAATGTGTTTATTCTTCTTATTTTCTTTAGGTTTAAACATGGGAATTGATAGTCAATGTCTTTATTTTCTTTATTTTTCTAGGAACGAGTGATCCTTATGTTCGAGTGTGTTTACTCCCAGATAAGAAGAATAAACTGGAGACAAAAGTAAAACACAAAACATTAAACCCTCGCTGGAACGAAACCTTTCATTTTGAAGGTAAATTAATCATCTTCTAGAACTCCTATTCAGATATTTTTGCCGTTTTTAAATATAAAGAAATGTCTAAGAATTATATAAAATTGAAAAGTTTACAGTTTTACTCAGAAAAATCTTCAATTTTAACGTTATTTTGCCTTTATATTTCTTAGAAAATTGACTTAAAAAAAAAAAAAGCTATGAAAGCGCTCCTTCGGTGTGAAATTTTTATTTCTTATCATTTAATTTATTCATTTTTATAGATGTTCTTGCCTCCAAAATTTCTTATTTCTCCTAATTATTCATTCAATAGTTCTTTTGAACAGCCGATAGTTATAAAAAATAAAGAGACAAGGTCATCAAAAAATAACCAACTGCATTAATTGAGGTCTATTTTAGGTAAAAAGTAATATAAAAGTACAAAAACATTGGTTTAAATAAATTATTTATGTTTCATCAGTGTAATTTGAGTGTCTTTAGTACATTTCTGAGTAGCGATATAAAAAGTGCGTAAGACGTCAGCCTGGCATTTTCTGAAAGATCAAGAGTCAAGTTCGGATCGGAATCTCAAAATTTTGTATGGAGATATCACATGGTTTTAGCAACTACCTCTGAGATGAACCTAGTGTATTGCCTCTCATAAGCGGAGAAAGGTCCGAATCATTTAACTGTTCGAGATCCCCAATATTTTAAAAAAACAACGTTAAAAATTATAGTGTTTAAATATTTTTGTCAAATTCAGAGATTTTTTTCCTAACACCCAAGAAATCCAACAAATGTCTATATATTTACTTACAAGTTAGTAAGAAATGTTTTGAAGGCCTCATAAGTGTTGGCTAGGGTTAAATGGACAAGCAAGGTTATTTAATCCGGGCCTTACTTTTGTCGGGTGATAAGCAGAGCGCTGGATAGGCCCCATTGCTTCCATTGTAGATGTAGCCAAATCCATGAAAAAACCCTTCTTGATTTCCGCAAGTTGAAGGAATTGTAAAAATTTAAAATTTTTTTAGTAGAAAACAAATCTTTATTGTAAAATATTAAATGAATGATAAAGATTACTGTTTGATTTCAATCTGGTTGACATTATTATTGTTCAATAAACAATGTCATTTATTTAGAAACAGCTTTTGTCGGCGGTTTGCTTATTGGAGAAACTGTTATTTCTTCCGGAAATCGTTTTGTTGGTTTTCTTCTACTACGTGAACGAATCAATTTATTTATATCTCTTTGAAATGAAATGAGTAATAAAATACAGTTTATCCAAAAAAAAAATCGTCTACGTCCGAAATAATAAATATATTACCGCAACCGCTCATTATATTAATCAGTCCGCGTCTCCTAACTTTGACCTGGCTACTAGAGGGATACTTATTGTAAATAACGGTTATTTTTGTCCAATTCTTTTGTGTAAAAGATCAAAATTAAGAAAAATACACGAATAAAGTAGAAAAGAGAGTAAACAAATCGAAAATATTTTTCTATTAGCCTTAAATTAATTTGTGTTTTATATAAGTTTGAAATGACCACTAGAGGGATACTGTGTAGAAATAATTTAAAATTAAGTCACGATTAAAAATATAAATAAAAAGTTTTCACTTTAATNTTTTAGCTCTCTAAAATAGCTTTTTTTTTAATATTTATATGGAAGAAATGCATCTAGAATATAATTTTATCAATTTATTTATGTAAATTGCAAGTTTCGTTTAGATTATATACGTTGATTAAAGATATATTTCTCCCGATTTTAAAGCATTAAAGTCAGATGATGTAGATATTTCGTTTAAATATTTGAAGAAGTGTATCTTGTTGCTGAAAATTCGGATTTTGAATATGAAAATATAATTGTTTTATGGATATTTTTTCTGATATAAAAACTACAAAATTTGTTAAATAAATCAAGAGTCTCTTGTTGTTTCCTTAAGTAGTTCGAAGTATGTAAACATATCAAAGAATTCAATTAAGACCTTTCGAAATATCAAGATGGTGGCTTTTTCTTTATTTATTTGCAGAGAAATGTATCTAGGGTTTACATATTTTTTAATAAAAAATTATCTAGTGAGTTTACTTTATGTGGATAATGAAAAGATGATAGTTTCTCTTTCCTCTCTTCTCTCGCTCTTCTCTCTTCCTCGATCTCTCCCCTCTATTCTCTCTTGTTCTTCTCTGTTCCTCGATCTCTCTTCTCTATTTTCTCTCGCTTTTCTCTCTTTCTTTCCCTCTCTTCCCTCTCAGAAAATTTTACGTAACAGATGCCTGTTTTCAGGAGTTAAATCTCAATTTCATTGAGTTACCAAGGTTTAGCTTAATTAAAAACAGGATAAAAACGCAGAATGTTGTAGAATTCTTTAGCTATTTTGAATTCAAACTAGCCTATCAATAATTATGTAAACTAAAATTTAAATTTATCATTCAAATTTGAGGATTTTTTTAGGATACATGTTTCTCGTATTTAGGGATTGAGACGAAGGAGATGAGGCGTGGATCAGTCACAAATGTGGATTCCGCTCCACTACGAAAGCCATAAAAATGCGTAAATAAAGCCGAAACCCGTAAAAATAAAATAAATAAAGCAAATACAAAAGTGATCTGTCTCTATTTATTTAAAATTATATTTTTTATTTAGATAATTTTCGTATATTTTCACATAAAACGCTAATTTTGATGATTCCTGAGTTCGAAACAAAGGCTCTATTGGCTCTCTCTATACGAGCCTAATGTATACATTATAATATAACTAAAATATAGAAGATATAAGCTACATATATATATCAAAAAAGGTAGGCCATTCACAAAATAAACGTAAACATATTCAGTCGAATCTTCAAACAACGGCTACCTCTAAACAGTGACCATTTTCTCAAGAACGTTTCCCTAAAATGCTTACAGCATAACCTCCAAACAACGGCTACTTTTCACGCTTCTCCCAGTGTCCGTTGTTTACAGGTTCGACCTACAGGTGCATAAAATTTATTATATTACCATTAGAATCACTTTCAACGAAAATTCTTCAATTTTTAAATAATTTAACACCCTTTAATTCACATTTAAACCTTCACACGTGGCAGATGCGTTATTTGTTACTCAGCGAATGACAAATTTAAAACGCATCCCCATTATACAAATAACAATCCGATAATAGTATTTTCTAGCGATTTATTATATTGACGTACGGCATTTTCTCCCCTTTTCTGCATCATTACCATTTTCTCTTTTCCGTCTATGACAAGTAACATTTGTATTCTCGGTTAATCACGTCTTCCAAACCTTTCTAAATTTAATCGATATAACGTAAAGCGAATTTACTTTAATATATTGTATCGTGTATTCTCCGTCTTCCATGTCAATGTGTAAAATGTAAGGCCGATAATGATCAGAATTTTACATCGCTTCATAAAAGTATTGTACAAAAAGCGACGTACAAGTACGAACTTGTTAAATTTAATAAAAGAAACCTTTAAATTAAGAAAAAATTCGGGTTTTTTTAAGTTTATTTGCTCCAGCAAATAAATTAATATTTAATAATTAATAAGTAAACAATTTTTTAATTACATCCCTTAGAGTTAAACTAGCCATTTTCTTCATTTATTCTTATCATTATGTCTTTACTTTTAAAGGAATTCAGTTAATAACTCATAATAAAATCATTTTCTTTAATTTTTAGAGTAAAAAGTATTATTTTTATCATTAATCTTTTATTTTTCATTTTAAATATTAAATTAATAAATTAAACAAATAAAGCAAACAAATAAATTATTAAATAGTTTCACCTTTAGTATTAAGATCAAAACCCTAATTTTCTTCCCCTTTATCAGCATTATTCCTTTATTTATTTTTTCTTCTTTTAAAAGAAATCAGTTAAAAATTCATAAATAAATCCATTTTTTAAAAATTATTCTCCTTTTAAATTTTAGAATAAAATATACTACTGTAATTTCTTTATTTTATTTATTATTCTTTTAAATATTAAATTAATAAATAAAGAAAGTTGTAAAATTTATTATATTCTATTCCGTATACAGAGGATTTTTCTTTACTTAATTTGACTTTTTAACTACATATATTCTATACAACTGTACTATCTTTTTTATCCTGCTATCTTCCACCTCTTTATTGATCCTTTCTGATTGACATATCCGACTGTTTCTTATATCTTCTACTCTTTCCCTTTAAAGAAGTTTATCTTCTTATCTTAGAAGGATTTTCTCTCTTCATAAATGTGCTCTTCTCTTAATATATTTTTTTCATATCAACAAGCCGAAGCTAATACATAATTATATCATTATAATATATAGCTTTTGTTCGATTATAATTCTCTTTTTTCTTTCTTCTTCTCCTCTTTCTCCATCTCCTTTTTCATCCTTCTTCTTCCCCTCCTCTTACTCCTGCTCTTCATTCTTTCCCCCTCCTTCTTTTTATTCGTACTCTTTGCTCCTCTTCCTCTTCCTCGCCCTTCTTCTTCTTCTTCTTCTTCTTTATTCTTCTTCTTCCCCTTCTCTTCTTCCTCCTCCTCCTCTTTCTTCTTCTTGTTTTTTGTTCTCATTTTCCCCCTCCTCTTGCTCATTCTTCTTCTCCTTCTTTTTTTCTTCTTCATCCTTTGATAATTGAAAGAATTTTTTTCAACTTTCCTTTAGAGTACACAACGGAAACAAAGAAGAAGATGTTGGACCAATTGCTTTCTTACAAGCTCTTTTACCAAGCCTCGAAGTAAGTGCAATTCAATTTTTTTAAAGTTTTCATCAACGAAAAAATATATGTATTATTTTCTAAATACTTTAAGTCTCTGTTTAAAAATTCTTTTCCAATTATTCACTGTTTAAGCTTATTTAAGTAACGAAGGAGGTTGAAAGCTGTTGAGTGGAAAGTTAATTTTAATGCAAGGAAATTAAGCCACGTCTGTGACAGATGCTTTAAAGTTAGAATTAAAATATTTTTAGATATTTTTTTCTACCCTCATATAATGAAAAAAAGTATGTGTGCTTTTTAATATTAAAAGAAAAATTCTTGTCAACTCCTAAGGCAACTCTGCTCAAGGGCATCTCTCAGATATTTGTTTCTAATCGATCGTTTTTTAGACATCTTCTCCGCATTTCTAAACAAATATAACGTTTTAAAAATGTTATATTTAATAAATTTACTTAATAATATTAAGTAAAACACTTTTAAACAATGGTTTCTGTAACTAATCTTCGTAATAAATGCTCTACCTCGGTATAGCGCCTCCAAATAACGCCACCCTCGTGAAAACGCCAATGAATACACGCGTATGGATCTTCCACGTAAATATTAAGTATAATTTGTGCTATAAACGACATTATTATATAGATCTCATTCTTATTGCTTGGTGTATTTCGATTTAGTGCCAATTTCGAGTGGCGCTAAATCGAGGTGTATATGTCTTTCGTGTTAACGCGTTTCTTTACAAATTTCTGGTGGAAATATTAATTTAATTTTTTTTTTTTAAATATATTTAAATTTCGAAAAAATTGATTAAAAGTAATAAATATAATATAATTTATTATTTAAAGAGGATTCAAAATGATTATAATGGCGAGAATACTTTTAAATACAGTAGAACCTCGAAAACTCGGCTCTCGATAACCCGGCACTCCGGATAACTTGGCCACACCCTAGCAGGGCAAAAAAATCCTTAGTTAATTAATTTTCATTATAGACAGCTTTATAAAAGTATAAAAGCTCTCATAAAGTATTTTTCTGAGGTCTGTCTTATCAGGTAAATTACTGTACACAATGTATTCATTAATTTTCATTTTCATGTAGTAAAGGCTCTATGCCTTCATAAAGGACGTACTTTTCCTTTGTTTAAGGGTATTTGGGCAGTTTATTCTCTGTTATATTCTCAAGTAAACAATACATACAAGTACAGTACAGTATTTTCTGAGGAAACACTCGTACTTATTTTTTTTAACCCCATTCCCCATAACCCGGCATTTTCACAAACTCGGCTACCCATCGGTCCACATTAGACCGAGTTTTCGAGGTTCTACTGTATTTGTAAACAGAGAATAATGATTATTATGATGATTTTAATATAATAATAACAAGAATATTCGGTGAGATATGAAAGAGGAGAATGTTACAAATTCCATTTCTATAATTGGATACTTAAGTAATTAATAAGTACAGTACCTTTAATATCAAAACCTTGTCAAATATTCGTGTAAAATTGATTAAAATTCTATAAAATTCTTTTCTAAATAGCCATATTATTACGTAAATAGCATAACAAAGGCGAACAGACAGACAGGCGTTACTAGTTGAAAGCAGTTGGCATCACCTTTTAATCAATCCAAATGGCAGCATTTTCTTTTTCTTGCCAAAAATAACTTTAAAAAATAACGAAATTAAATTAAAATAATGCTTTTTACATTCATTTTAAGCTGGAAAAGCTATTTGAAAGTAAAATATTCTAGTTTATTCTCCTTTGTTAATTCCTTTATCGGCTTACAAACTGAATATTAAACACATTAATAATGTGCCACTCATTTATAATCCTTAAATATGAATAATTTGCCAGTTTATAATATTAAATTAATTACTTAATAAATAACAAAGGTGTTAATTATAACTAAAGAATCCTCTACTCCAAGCCGCATAAATTTGTCGTAAAAAGCCTGTAAGGTAAGTCGATCGGTTTAGATTATGTCTTTTATAATGAACTCGCCGACCAAAATATATTTCGAGCTTATTAAGTGGTTGGTCGAAGCAGGGGATGAATTAACTTAAGGCCATAAGTTAAGCACCCACCAACAATGGGAGATAGCAGTTGATTATCTTTACCGAAGATCGATGCATTCATATCAATTGTATCTCACAGCATGTTGCTCCCGTTTTATAATAAAGAATTCTTCCCGTACACGTCCCACGCTTAAAATTCAAATAACTGTACACTACAACAACAATATCGAGGTAAAAAAAAAATAAATATTGAGCCAGTGTTGCAATTTCCTACTTGGTATCTCCCTCACGATGGCTCTTCTTCAGCGATTCTTCTGAAGATGCTTCAAATCCAACAACAAAAAACAAATCCGATCCTGCAAATCTTTACGACTTATTAGAAGTGGAATATAGATACTGTGTCGTAAATAGGATTTATGTCATAGGTTACACGCCTAAAGAAAATTATTAACTGTGTGTGACAGTCTGGAATACATTCTTTATCGTTACAACAATGGCGTGGCTTATATCATGATTCTCCATGCATATAACACGCATTTACTCATTATAGTTCGCGTTGTTATCTGTTTTACTTAAAAGAAAAATAAAATCATCATTTCTAAAACTAAAATAAGCTGTGTAAACTAAGATATATGTGTATTAAATATATTGAAATGAATATATAGGCGAGAAGGCATCCTATCAAAGGTATATCGAATTATATCGAATCAATTGTAATGAATTGTATCATGGCCTCATAAATCTTAAACATGAAGGAGTTTTAATGTATGCCCCGAGTTCAAACACAAATTTAACGTGATTATGATAATCAAACTCCCAATCGGCATATAATTTGATACCTTCTCTAACATTCCATGCATTTCGGTAAGTGGACGACGCCAAATATTGATGATAACGCTTGAATTGTAGTTAGTTAAGCGTATGATATAATAATCTAGGTCGATAACTGCGGATATTTTTATATTATTTAAAAATTCAAGACGTGTTTTAGAATAATCAATAAAGAAATTTAAGTATATAAAACTTCCTAAGTGCTAAAATAATATGAAACGAAGCTTTCAGATTCCTCATTAGTTTAATCTGTACCTACGCATCTTATAACGGAATTAAACTTTGAATTATTATTTAAATAATAAATATCATATTATAATCCAATCACATATGAAAGAACCTAAGCTATCAATCAAATTAACTGAAGGAAACCGAAATTACACTTTACTACTGATTTGATTATAATTTCCCTTCAAAATTTACAAAATTTGGCATATATTAAAAGAAAATTAATTGGGATAATAATTTAAAACGATTTAAATTTAAAAGTTTGATATATTTATAACGCAATTTAACAATTTTACATGATAAATGAATATATTTACTTAAACATTTTCTAAGTTACGATGATTTTATGATGAGCCCAACCAAAAATTGCTCAATCCATTCTCCTAATTTCGTATCCTAATTTTGTTTTATTATAAGGAATATGTAAATAATGAATGATTAAACAGTTATTCTTTAATTGTTTATAATTAAATTAAATTAAATGAGTTATTTTTAAATGAATAAATCGATAAAACTGATTTAATATTCCTTGTATCTTGAATATGTCATATCCTCAATTTTACATTTGAAAATCAATAAAACTCTTACTTTATTAAAATATATTATAAAAATTAATAAAATTAATTGCTTAATTTATTATTATTTTTTTTACAAAAATATTTCGTAAAATTAAAGTTACGTAAAGAATTTTTAATTATATCATTTGAAGAATTTTAATTATTGACATGATTAATAATTGCTTACAAATATTTATACATATGAAACTATTTTATATTTAATTTTCTATTTTAGGAAACCTTTGGTAATTCTTCAGGAGAGAGTGCCGGCCAGATACATTTTACTTTAGAATATAATTTTTCCGATTCGAATCTTATAATAAAGGTTCTGCATGCTAATGGCTTACCAGCTAAAGACTTATCAGGTGATACTTGTTGCATGTAAATGTGTTTATTCTTCTTATTTTCTTTAGGTTTAAACATGGGAATTGATAGTCAATGTCTTTATTTTCTTTATTTTTCTAGGAACGAGTGATCCTTATGTTCGAGTGTGTTTACTCCCAGATAAGAAGAATAAACTGGAGACAAAAGTAAAACACAAAACATTAAACCCTCGCTGGAACGAAACCTTTCATTTTGAAGGTAAATTAATCATCTTCTAGAACTTCTATTCAGATATTTTTGCCGTTTTTAAATATAAAGAAATGTCTAAGAATTATATAAAATTGAAAAGTTTACAGTTTTAGTCAGAAAAATCTTCAATTTTAACGTTATTTTGCCTTTATATTTCTTAGAAAATTGACTTAAAAAAAAAAAAAGCTATGAAAGCGCTCCTTCGGTGTGAAATTTTTATTTCTTATCATTTAATTTATTCATTTTTATAGATGTTCTTGCCTCCAAAATTTCTTATTTCTCCTACTTATTCATTCAATAGTTCTTTTGAACAGCCGATAGTTATAAAAAATAAAGAGACAAGGTCATCAAAAAATAACCAACTGCATTAATTGAGGTCTATTTTAGGTAAAAAGTAATATAAAAGTACAAAAACATTGGTTTAAATAAATTATTTATGTTTCATCCGTGTAATTTGAGTGTCTTTAGTACATTTCTGAGTAGCGATATAAAAAGTGCGTAAGACGTCAGCCTGGCATTTTCTGAAAGATCAAGAGTCAAGTTCGGATCGGAATCTCAAAATTTTGTATGGAGATATCACCAGGTTTTAGCAACTACCTCTGAGATGAACCTAGTGTATTGCCTCTCATAAGCGGAGAAAGGTCCGAATCATTTAACTGTTCGAGATCCCCAATATTTTAAAAAAACAACGTTAAAAATTATAGTGTTTAAATATTTTTGTCAAATTCAGAGATTTTTTTCCTAACACCCAAGAAATCCAACAAATGTCTATATATTTACTTACAAGTTAGTAAGAAATGTTTTGAAGGCCTCATAAGTGTTGGCTAGGGTTAAATGGACAAGCAAGGTTATTTAATCCGGGCCTTACTTTTGTCGGGTGATAAGCAGAGCGCTGGATAGGCCCCATTGCTTCCATTGTAGATGTAGCCAAATCCATGAAAAAACCCTTCTTGATTTCCGCAAGTTGAAGGAATTGTAAAAATTTAAAATTTTTTTAGTAGAAAACAAATCTTTATTGTAAAATATTAAATGAATGATAAAGATTACTGTTTGATTTCAATCTGGTTGACATTATTATTGTTCAATAAACAATGTCATTTATTTAGAAACAGCTTTTGTCGGCGGTTTGCTTATTGGAGAAACTGTTATTTCTTCCGGAAATCGTTTTGTTGGTTTTCTTCTACTACGTGAACGAATCAATTTATTTATATCTCTTTGAAATGAAATGAGTAATAAAATACAGTTTATCCAAAAAAAAAATCGTCTACGTCCGAAATAATAAATATATTACCGCAACCGCTCATTATATTAATCAGTCCGCGTCTCCTAACTTTGACCTGGCTACTAGAGGGATACTTATTGTAAATAACGGTTATTTTTGTCCAATTCTTTTGTGTAAAAGATCAAAATTAAGAAAAATACACGAATAAAGTAGAAAAGAGAGTAAACAAATCGAAAATATTTTTCTATTAGCCTTAAATTAATTTGTGTTTTATATAAGTTTGAAATGACCACTAGAGGGATACTGTGTAGAAATAATTTAAAATTAAGTCACGATTAAAAATATAAATAAAAAGTTTTCACTTTAATCAATTATCAATATTCTAATTTAATATTAATTATAAGAAATTACTAATTTTTTAAAAATATATATATTTATTTAAGAGATATGAAAATTAAATCGGAAGCAAGGTGTCGACACAATCGGCTGCTAAGTTTAACCTAAGCAATTATCGTCCTGGTGGATCCCAGGATCAATATATTGTAATTTAATATCTGAATTGTAAATATCCATTTTCAAATCGTTTAGAGCTAAAAGTGTGAATTTTCGACAGTTTATCAAAGTCTTAAACTTAAATATTCACGAAATCTTATCATAGCGTGCTATACATCATCTTATCAATTGCATTGGTGAAAGCAATGGAGTTTCTTGTTGACTTTTAAAATTCAAATAAAATATTTCAAGATCAATCTAGTTATATTTACAGAAAAGACATTCACTTTTTTTCTGTATTTTTCAATAGGTTATCCGCTACACAAACTACAGAAGTCCATCCTACACTTTCACATTTTGGACTACGACCGCTTCACTCGAGATGACTCAATTGGAGAAGTATATTTTCCCTTGCACCAAGTGGATTTTACTCAAAAGCCTAGCTTTTCCCTCAATATCCAACCGAGCGAAAAAGTTAAAGTAAGCAAAGTACAAGTATTATTTTGATTGCAATATGATTGAAAGAAAAATTTTTTTTTAAAAAAAGAAAAGAAAAAAACGTTATTGTGTAGGTCGTTTCGGTCTGAATTCGTCCTACGTCTAGCAAAAAAACATGGTTCTAATCATCTAAATTTCTTTAAAGAAGACATTTTTTCCATATCGATTTTTCTTTTCTACTTTACATATTTTTACACGATCGATAACGATTCTTTACCTGAAAAATCTTGATTCCCTCGCTCGTTCTGGCTTCTTTTATTTAAATAAATACGCTGGATTTTTTTAAAAAAACACAGAAAATTCTTTTCTTTAATTTACATGTTTGCAACAACCATTTTAATCCGAATATCACTTGTTCAGTTTAATCCCCCATATTAAAACCTTAGTGAATTCTTGCTGCGGTTATTTAAACATACAATTATATAGATTTTAATCTGTTAAGTGAACTAATGAAGTAATAAATTTCTTATTTTTAATTATAAATTTGGAATTTTTAATTGTTTAGAGAGTTCTAATAAATAAATTACCATACACTAGCTTTTATATAATGCTGTTTTTTGCTTGTGAAGTATATTATTTATGGCATCGTGCGAATCTGTTGAACTGCTGCTGTTTAATTTTAAAATGTCGAGTGTAGATAAAAATAGTTTGCCTTCCATTAAGGAATTTTTCTACAATTAAAATATCAATATTTTTTATTATTATGGCGTGATCGTTAATTTAACAGAAATCCACTAACAAATTTTTCATTAAAAAATATATAATCTATGCTTAAAACTTATAAGTTTTATGGAGGTTTTTTTTGGTATTTTGATTAAATTCTAAATACTAAAAAATATTTTTGAAAACAAATTTATATTGATTTTAAACACATTTCTAATCAAAATTCTGCATTGATGTTGCTGTAAGCGGTCGTCAGGTTGTTTTAAAATAATTAAGGAATATTAAAATTGATTTTGTGAAACGTTTTCATTTGTAGAAATAAAATATACCGATTTTCATTTTCTTACACTAAATACTTCTTTATATAGGCCTATAGAGCGTAACAGACAGACGTTTCGTTATATCAGAAATTTAAACATAATAAATTTTGACACTTATAATTAATTTATTTTATTTTATTTTTTATTATTATAATTAGTTTTTTCACTGTTATTTTCATGAGTTATTAGAAAAGGAAGAAGTTTTCATTCTCTTCCTCCCCCTCCTCCTCCATTTATTTTTATAATCTTTGATGTTCGGAGGCGAGAAAAAAGTTTTATTCACTAATGAAGCTGTAGAAGTCATCTGAAGATTTTTATATTTATGTTAAAACAAACTTTGCTCTTCTTACTGAAGTATCTCATCTTTACTTTTTTTTTTATATACAAGTATATATAAGATAGATTGTAATCTTATTATCGAAACTACCATGCACTCATGAGAGAAGAGTGTAGTTTAATTATATTAAATTATTTTCTTACTTTCTTTACAACATTATTTCATTTTCGTGTAGAAGTACATCTCTATGGCCGCAAATAACTTATTTTTATGCTATTACCAGCAATAAGAAAAATATCCGATTTGGATGATGATTAGGGTGTTCTCCCTAAGGCAATGATTCTTTATGGAATAACGTTAGCTCTAGAAAATTAGCGACTTTCCTACACTCAAACTATTATACTACGAAACAGAAAACAAAATTGAATATAAAAAATTTAAAATTTAATATAGTCGGCATTTTTCTAGCTATTCTATGTATTAAATTTGCAAGAGATGTAGAAAATAGCGAATATTCAGCACAGTTTTTTCGGATCACAAGCGGTTCTTTGACAATATTCGACATTTAAATCGCCAACTAGTTGAAAAACATGTAATTTTCTGCCTATTCTAGAATTTTATGCTACTCTACTTGGTTGGATATGGAACCATTAAGTAACCTCTCGAAGTAAAATGAAATTCTTTCATCATTTAAGGAATATTTTCAAATTATTATTATTTTTTTGTGCGCTGACTCTTAATGCAATTAAATTACAACCGAGTTTTAAAAATAGCAAAAGCTTTTTTTGTTTTTTTGTTAATTTTTCATTACATTCTCTGAAATAATTATAACTTACTCTCTTACATTTAATGAGTTTTTTTTAAATGGTTTTAAAATCATTATTTATTTTTTAGAACCATTTTAGTTAGTTTAAAAGACAGTAGGATCGATATATTTATGTAAGGGTCACCTTGTTCTTTGTATTGATTAACTGTGGTGAAATTGGTAGCATATGATCCTTCTTATCTCTTAATGGCATTTATTTATAAAATCTTGATTATTACAGTTGGGAGAATTGCTTGTTTCGCTCTCTTACACGCCTAGAACCAGTGAACTAACAGTTTGCATCATAGAAGCACGAAACCTCAAAATCAAAGATATTACCGGATCCTCAGGTGAGTGAGTAATGCATCTAAATGCGTTTACTTACCATAAACTTAGGGATTTTAGAGTTGAAAACTATTTTTAAAATATTTAAATGAAAAAGTTTCGTCGAAAAGAATTTAATAAAAAAGAATAAAACGTAAGAAAATGAAAGATCTTCAAGCTTTTCATATACTAAAATAGTAACTCTTTATCTTCATTTAAAATTGATATCTGGTGGTTCGAGTTGACGTTCCACATTTATAACCGAGTTCTCTACAGTAAATTAAACATATATACATGTATATTTTATCTAGTGAATGGTAAAATTATAAATGGAATTTTATATACGCCTACCTAGCGTAAAATTTTAATACAATCTTAAAAACGGCCGGATGGACGAGCGGTCAAGATGGCATCCTACCGTTCTGGGGATCCGGGGGTAGGTCGTCGGATATGTTGGGCCCTCCTCATCATCCGGCTACCCCATTGTGGACCTGGCCGAACTCATAAAGGCTTTCTATAAAAAGCCATCTTGGTGTCCACAGGGCTGAGAGTTAAAAATAAAAATAAAAATAATAAATAGAATCCTAAATACAAGGCAGGATTTAGAATTTAGACTGACCCTAAACTATAATATATGAGGCCTTTTTAAATAATTTTAAAATCGTGAGATTGTAAACTATATCTTCATAGTATTAGGTCCTAATCTGTAGTTCGTTTAGCTTGTGTATATCTAGATGATACTTTGATATATTTGTAATATTAGAGCCAGTTTATTTTCATTAAATTAGATTCAAAGAACAATATTAAAATTGTCAAATTTCGATTGATAAATTACTTTTGTTTCTCTGATTTGCAGATCCTTACGTCAAGATATGGTTACACAGAGGCGATAAACGGTTAGAGAAGAAAAAGACTGTAATCATGAAACGATCTTTAAATCCAGTATTCAACGAAACGTTTCAATTTTCTGTACCCTGGGAGCATATACGAGAAACCTCATTGGTTATAACGGTTATGGATTACGATTCGATTGGCAGAAACGAACCAATAGGATGCTTGGTTTTATCATCGCGTAGCGGCATAAACGAGACAAAACATTGGAACGAAATGCTGAGCAGTCCCAGAACATTCACTAGAAGATGGCATAAATTAAAACCTGTCTAAAATCAAATTTAAAAAAAAAAACAGAAAATAAATTTGAATATGTTTAGGTAGAATTCCCTAAGCAACGCGTTTTCAGTATATTTGTCATGTCAAAAAAATGATCCTTTTTATGTCACGACCACGCGAAAAATTAAAAAAAAAAAAAAAAAAGGGGAGGGGAAAAAAAAAAAGAGAGAGAGAGAGAAAATAAATTTAAAAAAATAATGTGCAAAATCGACGTTCTGCAAAAATGTCCCAAATGCACTTATATCCTCATGTACAGTATTTGTTTAGTCTTTGTAGTAGTTATAGAAAAATATATTGACCAATAATAAACTGGAAATGCAATCTTTGGTTTGGTTTATTTCTCTGATTAATTTTTGCTCCAGGAAAAGCTTGAAAAAAAATTGGACTAATGACAGATGTTTGAATGTTTAACTTACATTTATAGCTGCAAGTAAATTCGGTATGTAAACTATAATTTTTGCTTGTCGAATTTATAACAAAGAAAATTATCGGGTTATCAAATTAATGAATATGCAATTATCTTTATAAGAATTTTTAATCGAATCGCGCTATACGTTATCAAATTTTCAAGAAAAGCCTTGATTCTTTGGAGAGATGTCATGTTCCACATAATTTAATAAAATATCTTTGCTTTCTGCTTCCATTGCAAACTCTTCTACTTTGATGCAACAAATCGGATTTTTGGTAAAAAGAAACGTTGCATCAGGATAAACAGGAAGGAAATTTCTCTTTTTTGGAACTATTAAAGTAAACTGCGCCTTGCAATGGTGCAGAAACTAACTTCCTTCACTAATTGTAGGCCTATCGATTTTTACAAACGACTATAGGGAGATACACAGTAATTTACTTCATCATACTTCATGGTGACTCCATCGAAGGGTGAAGAAAAGTAAAATACAGTACAACATTTCTTTTTTGGCTATAACACTAAGGAATGGATATTGTCAACTCATTTATTTATTTTTATGTGTAATCTAAAGGTAAAATTTTATAGCGTCAGTACTTATGTGTGCCGTTTCATTATGATAAAAAGTACTAAATTCAGTAAAATAAATTTTCTTTTATTATTTTAGAAAAGTCAGTAAAATAATAATCGTTTAAATTGGAATTTCTTCGACTCGGATCAAATTTTCTTCAGGATAAAATCTAGCACTAACGTTATTGATTGAAAAAATATCAATAATTTCTGTTTCTATTATTGAATTATTTCGAAAATCGATGCGTATCATTGTTTGAAAATAGGATTTTTTATAATAAAATAGTTTTTTTCAATATTTATGTTAAAACAAACAAACCTGTAGACATACAGACGTACAAATAAATCAAATGTTTACGGAATTCTCATCAAAATAATTCAAAATTCATGTTTCAATCGTTCTTAACATTGATTTTTTTTCCATTTCATAAAATATGAATTAGAGGAAAAAATATCAATCAAATTAAATCGAATCTCTAGAAATATCCACTTTCAATATTAGTTTCTGTAGCACTCAGAAGACTGTCATTTATAGATTTTAAAATAATATATATTAACTTAAGCTAAACAGAAGAAAAATTTAAAATTTTACACTTATTTTCGTATTTTTAGACATTAAAAAAATTATATATTGATTAATTCTCGAGGGTAAGTTAAAATATTTAGAAGTAAAAAAACATCAAAATCTGAAGATAATTTGGAATCGTGTAACGATATTCTGTGCATTGTGCTTTAGGGAAATGTCGAATGTTACATGCCTTTCGGCCAGATGTAACGATTTGTAACCTAACATGAATAATGCTCTGCTCCAATACTAAAGAGCCTTTCATACAATATATGGTAGATACAGCCGTACAAACTGCCTGATTTACTAAAATGATTACAGCTTAGGGATTTTGAGGATGACGCGAAGTTTCCCATTTAAATTACGTGTGCCATCCTCAAAAAATTTAATTAGTAACGTCCATTAATTCGAAACTATTATGTAACGTTTCCTTACTGCCTATTGAGAACAGGATCGAAAGCTTGGTATGGGGCTCGGTGGTAAAGCGGGCTTCTTTTACAGAGCCCGCTTTACCACCGAGCCCCATACCAAGCTTTCGATCGGGCTTCTTTTATAGAGCCCGCTTTACCCCGAGCCTCATAAATTACCTCTGCTTAAGTTATAAGGATAGAAACCATTACAGGCCTTAAGTTTTCTCTGGATCCGGGAAAAAATTCCTAGCTTTCTCCTTGATGGCCCTGATTGAGAAGTGTCGTTATTGAAAACATCTAATTTTGGTCTTGTTTTATTATTGTTTGTTGCAAGGGAAGGTTTATGATCTGTTATAGTTTAGGGCCACAAAGTTTATATCCGATCCTGCTATACTCGTACATATATCTTCTGAAAGAGATGGCAAGACAGTTACAAATGTGGAGTTCTATCCTCTTCGAAAGCCATACAAATACACGAATAAAATCAATAAAACAAATAAAAACAAATTTTTAAACCATTTATCAAAAGAAATTTTGCTTTCCTATCATGTTTTTCAGATAAAAAAAAATTAAATTTTGATGCCTCTTTGAATTCTAGTCCAAGCCAATAGGCCATACAATACCTCTCTCTATTTAATCTTGTTTATATATGATTTAGCAACTATTTATTTTGGTATTTTATGTATAGCATCTTTTAAAATATACCTAATTGAATAATGCATTAACTCGATAGAAATGTCTATTTTTTATATGATGCCGATATCACCTATGGAACTGCAGTTAGGACTCTACTGTATATCAGAAATGCTGTTTTATAGTAATAAAATTGCATTATTAACTTTCTAAAGTAGTTAGATAAATAGTTATTCTGTTCGTTTCGTTTATGCCAGGAGAGGAAACTCGTGTATTAAATGCCTGTAGCGACAGTTTACATTTTAAAATTTTAATGAGACGGAAATACATTCCAGATGAGGATTATACCCTACAGGTTCATTGATCAAATCGACGGGGTAGCGATCAATAGCACCATTTTTTCTTCTAACGCCATCTGTCCCGTCTTAAATGAACTATTTTCGTGACTGAATTACTTAGAAACTCTCTGTGCGTTACCTCAAAAATGTCTACGAGAAATGAATCAATTTGCACAATTTTATGCGAAGTTTAATGTAATTATAATATAAAAACTGTATATTAATTAAAAACGTCAGTGTAGAACAGAGTTAAAAAGGAAGACAAAATATATTATTGTTTTCAATAAAAATTTTCAGAAAAGATTTCTTTCATGAAAACTTATTTCGTAATCCATTGATCACGAATTCGTAACGGTTTGACACGCGAAGCGAATGTAACAATTTTTTTGATAAAAACGCAAAAAAGTGATTACTCTGTCCGTAATTTATGTCATTTGTGACAATGTACAGTATAAATACAATTCAAAGAACGATAAGTATTACATCAATTTATTTTATCGAATTCGTGATTCAATTGTTTTTATACCTTTTTCATATTTAATTCTTTCCGCCCTAAGGGCATTAAGAGGCCTTTTACGGAGTCTTAAGAGGGCCTACCTAGCGTAGATTTGGAAAAGACCACAATAAAGGCCGGTTGATGAGGACGGGCCCAGTATATCGGGGACAGATTGCCCATGAAAATTTCTGGGGAGTTACTCATCAGATTCCATACCGGATCCCGAGAATGGTAGATTAATGCACTAACCGTCTCAGCCATCAGGTTGTCTTTTTTGTTAGTGAGTCGCAATTGATAACGAATAATTGAATTGGATAGACTGCAACGCGAAGCATGGTTGCATACCACGAATATACAGGTATTTCGTGGTATGCAACCATGTATAATTGTAGGTCAAATTTCAAGTTCTGCCTATTTTGAAATCTCTTTCCGGCTTGTGGGCACTAAGGGAGCATTTTTTAGGAAGCTCATTATGGGTTCTACCAGGCTCACAATGGTGAGATTGTGAGGGAGGAAACCTGGAATATTTGGACGGACTAGCCTCAAAAATTTCCTGGAATTTTTCGATCTGTCCGGGTTCTTTTAGACGTTCAGCTATCCGGTATCCTCACCCACGGTTGCCACCGCATTTTGTGGTAGCGCTAGTGAAATGTAAACAATATGGCTACAAATCGAGGACAAGGCGTATGGATATGTTTTAAACTTTATATTAAACGATGGTTCGATATTGTTCTGTGCCCCAGTACAGATAAAAACAGGGAGATTATTATAATGAACAGAAAATTCTCTTCCGGTAGAAAGCAAATTAAGAAAAGTAGATTTCGAAGTTAAAGATTGGAAAGAAGGTATAACAACTCGATGATTTCTCAGCAGTTGAATAGTTTCTCAGTTTAAGGTATGACTTATTTGTTCTACTATATATATAAGACATATTGAAAAAGATTGACTTATTCAGAAATCGTGTCTTCTTTTAATTATTCTTTATTTTACAACTGGGTGCATAGGTAGACACTGGATATCTTTAACATTACTCTTTATTCAGAAATACCTTACACAACGATACACCGTATAACAAATTTGTTATAAGTATAGTTTTTATTCAGATATAAGGAAAAAAAGGTAAGCTAGACGAAAGGAATTAAAGATGAAGAAAAAAATATTTGATATAGTAAACAATAATATAATCAAATACTTTTATGAAATTTTTCCAGCGATTTAAAAATTAAAAATCTAAAACTTTTGTTATCAGCGCGTACATGTCCGAAGTTCTATAATTATTTTCATTTTTAACTATTTTTGTCCTGTAAACTCTAATGTTTTTAGCTGTGGCTTGGTTGAGCCTTTTTTTGTTTTTGTTGTTTTGTTTCTCTTTCTTCCACCATTTTCCTTTCATAAATTTCACTTCCGGCCTTTGTTCTGTTGACCTCACCGTAATTGGTTGACCCAATGGTCCATGGGTCACTAGAGAATAGGAGGTAACACCGGATTGGTCAAAGGGGACTGGTACGAGAGGAAAGGGGAAAAGTCGTCATTTTTAGAGAAGCGCTGGGAAGGAGAAGACATAATCAACGTGTACGGAAAGAAGATCCCTTCGGAACAACGAACTCTAGGTTAATTTTTTTGCCAGTCACCCCTTTTGACCCTTTTCTTTTTCTATCAAAAATCAATTCTTCTAATTCTTATCAACCCCATCTTGATCGAGGGCCCTTTATTTTGTATATTTAGTTAAGTTATAGTTAAGATAAACGTAAACTAGAATAAGTTCTATATTATGTCGGCACGTGCGAATCAACCGGTTGTATTGTTACGATTGGTCCCAAGGATCTTTGTAATTTCCTAGTTTATAATTATGTATAATTGTTTCTTAGTAAACTATCGGTGTTAACTGTAAATAATAAACTTTTTAATTTTATCAACGCCGAGTGATTCTTCGGATACGTAGGCCATCATGGATTCGACTGCCATGTGGTGAGAAACGGGGCCCGACATATCTGGGTCAGGCATCTCTCCAAAAATTTCCGAAGTTGCTCGTCCAGATTCGATTTTGGTTTTCCTAGAGTGGTAGACTTAAGCCTTAACCGACATCTGTCAGGATTTTAACGTATATCATCAAAAGATAAACGATAAAAAATCTATAAATCGTTTTATTTTTAACTAATAAGAAACGGCACATGTGCAATTTAGTGGGTACGGCTGTTTGAAAGGTTTTCTTCCATAAAATTAATCGATTATAGACTAATTTGACTCGAATATTTCCAAAATACGTATAATGTTTTGGAAAGAACCCATATAAAATATGTTATGAACAAAAAATTGTCGGAATACTTACCAAGTGTATTCCATTCGAAGACGCCATTGCTTAAGCTTGTTTTCGTCGCGGAGCGGCACATCGGCGTACGAAGCTGTCACGTGACATTTGTCGGTGCTATTCGGTTACGTGAGTACTCATCGCCGACGTGTTTCCTGATAACTTATTCTTTTTGCGAAGAAAACCTTTCAAACACCCGTACCCACTAAACCGCACAAGTGCGTAGGAAAATAAATATTTTTAATTTTTAAAGTATTTTACAGTTATAGTTAATTATAATTAATTAATCCATTGTTTTATATATTTGCTTCATTTACAGGTGTTTGGTTTCGGCTGACACCTGTTATAAATGAATTATGCATGACATTTGTAATACTGTACTGTACATTCACCTATTATTTACAATTGTTAGGAATTACATTCATACATATGTTTACAACATACAAACATCACTTATAATTTACATGAAATAGGTTTACTTAAATAAATTTTTATTAGCATAAAAAATATGCTTTTTAATTACTATTAATGTATTTTATGTTAATATAAATAAAATTTCTATTGGAATAAGAGGCAAAGTATAGAGAATCAATAATTTATAATTTCTAAATTAAATATTTAACGTAGCGCCAAATTAATTTTTTATTTGTTAAATTTCAAGCCTTTAATATGCAATTTTAATGAATGGATGAATAAATAAATAGATATAGTATAAATAGTAAAAAAGAAACATAATAATAATTTTAAAAGCGAATCCATTTTTCATGACGTCACAAACCAAGGCCAGTTAGGTTACGATAGTTCCGTATTTACTCGAAAACAATGGATATTTAAATAATTTCAAAAGATTAAAATAAAATATATATATATATATATAATGAAAAAACTCTAACCAAAATTCCAATTGCTGCTTTAGTGAGGTTAATAAAACCG